CACTTCTCGTCCAACGCGTGGACGAAAAGTGGTTCTACCTCTTCAACGACGGGCAGAGATTTTATCGTTGGACGAGAAGTGGTTCTACCTCTTCAACGACGGGCAGAGATTTTATTTGTACGGATGGTGAGGAGTCTCCCCTCCGCAAAGCTCAAAGCAAGCGTTTCATCACGAAGGTCATGTTCCTCGCTGCTGTTGCTCGCCCGCGCCACAACTCAGCGAGTAACAGCGCCTTCAACGGCGAGATCGGCCTGTGGTCCTTCACGGAGAAGGTTCCTGCTCTAAGAAACAGCAGGAATCGTGATGCAGGAACCCTTGTCACGAAGTGTGTTGAGGTTACAAGGGAGACCTACAAGGCGAAGCTGATCAACGACGTGATCCCTGCAATGAAGGAAAAGTGGCCAGCTACGTCTCGACGCAACACGGAGTATGGAAAAGCATGCGAGCCAAAGACGCGGCGGAACCTCGAGCGAGCCGACGGCACATCCTTGGTGAATACGAGAACGCGCTGTATACGTTGCCAATTGGCACGAAACTTGGCACGAATGCGAACTGTTGGGTAAAGAGCATATTGAAAAACTCTTGTAGTGATTTGTTGCGCGTAGGCGTCGGGGAGGACAGATTTAGCTGAAAAATGGCATCCACACGGTGACGTCATGCTTAGGTGTCTCAAGTCTGCCTACTGCAGGGTGTTTCGCATCTTGTAGCTGTCTCTTTTGCGGATGTACAGCACTTTGAGTTAGGTTGTATCATGCTGCATAGGTCGAGTACGCGTAATCGGCGCGCACCAATATTTGAAATGGAACCCACCTGGTACAATGATGTTGCTGTACCGCGAAACTGCGGGCACACCAAAAAGAGAGCTCGTTTCCTCTCTTCTCTCTTTTGCGATCATCATTTTGTTCGACCCCGTTCTGATGTGATAAAGAGACAAGAAAACACTCTCGAAGAGTGATTTCTGATCCCCTAGGGACAAAGGAACCCGTCCGTGATCGCTTCTAGATACCCTGAAAAGAACAATTTATACTAAACTGCAGAATTTTCCTGCCAAGTTTGTTTGTGGGCGTATTTTCGCCAGGGCGCACGCATTTTTTCGCATAACAGCAGTGCGGCAGGGCGAGGTCCCGTGCTGTCCACGGAGAGCATGACGTGCGTGTGAAAAGGATAGAGTGGAACGAGACTTCCATCGGCGGTTAAGTACACATACGACGACACCGATAGAAGAAAGGCCATATTTTGTCCACCGCTTGTTCTTGAATTGGGTCAGGCAACATTCCACATTATGTACAAGCAAGACTGCTCCTAACGTCGGGCCGATGGCAAATACAGTCAAATCACTAAATCAGTCGGCGGCTGACCTTCAACTGACAAAAAAATAATAACAACACTAAACTGACTCAGCACGTCACACACGCTGGTAAATATGGTCGAATTAGACAGCAGTCCCTGACTCCAAAAAATACAGCAGGTTCTTGACCACAAGGAGTACACAAAATAACTGCACACACACACACACACACACACACACACATGTTTGTACACGACAGGAGCCCAGAGCCGAACCATCACGAACGAAACAAAGGCAAGGATCGCAGCAAAGAGGGCTAACGGTGGCGGTGCCACCTATCTATCCAGCCCGTGCGGTTCCCACCCTTGCCCACACAAGCACACCCTCCCCACAGCCCATTCTCCGAGGTCTCCTCCTTCTCCACCATACGCTATTTAGCACGGAGGAACCTGTCGTCGTCACTGCCACCTTTTTGTCACAAACAAGCAAAAGCAGCAAAGGCAAACAACGGAAAGCGCAGGTGGTAAGCATGGGGGTTGGTTAATGTGGACTAAGGTCGCTTGGGTGGGATTTACTTCGGCGTTCTGCGCGCCGTAGTACGTTATCATACGATGAAATCGGGCCACAATCACGCAAATCCCTGCCGCACCCTCAGTTTATGGTCGAGAAGTTGGTAAATACACACGGAACGAGATACACACCTCAAAGCGACTCTTGAACCCTCAGAACCAGTCAGCTCCTGTCGCCCCCCATGGACCTTCGACCCCCCCCCGCATTTCCCCACCCTACATCCGGCCCGCCCTACGACGTGTCTGATCCCCAGTCGCTGAAGGCATCGCTGTTGTCGGACTCATCGGATTCTCACTTTGGGATTTCATCCCTCCCTTCATTTTCCTCCTGCTCCTCCTCCTCCTCCTCCTCCTCCTCCTCCTCCAGCTTTTCGACAGCCGCACCTCACGCAGAGACTCTTCTTACCCGGGGCCGGCTTGCAACCACATTTCTCCGTTTGGGTCTTTTTGTCGGTGCCAACGTAAGAATACTCAGACAGCCATACCACGCGATTTTCCGCTGTCATGTGCTCCGGGCTGGTCCCCCCCGTTTTCGGGTCGATCCCCCATCCCTTGCCGTTGAAGTCTCGTACTGGTACCACCTCTAAACAGCCATCTCGCCAGTACCCAAGCACCTGATGGCCTCGCTCGCTCTGCTGGCGCATGGACTCGAACAAGGGCACGTTGATGTAGCCTTCTTTGAACCACGCCTGAGGATAAGCATCCGGATGACGTCGACGTAATGTGCGACATCGCCGTTGTCCGTGCGGAAAATCCAGCCGGGCTCCTGCCCACCACGAGCAAAGGCAGCTTCATACTTAAAGTAGAATGTGGTCGCCGACAACTTGATGCGCTCGTCGATCTTGACGCCCCGTGCCCCACCCTCGCGCACGCAGACGTGCGAAACACACCCTCCGTCCGCACGCTCTTCAGAGTAAGAGCCCACATGGTCCCGAAAGGCAGGCCCGATATGGCAGGCAGGAAGTCGCAACCAGCAAGCAGGTAGACGAGGACAAAAAGGCGTACCTTCTCGTCGTCGTCGGGAATCCAACCCTGTAAATCGAAGTCCGTCGTAGAGATCTCTAGCCGTACAACTGTGACTGGCGATGTGCGTGAAGCTCTTCTCATCTGCCGACCTGTGACATGCAGCATACTCTCCTGCCAATTGCTGCCCCCGTGGGCACAGGTTACATGACTCGCCGGGAGTAGTGGTGACCCATACCTTCGCGCGCGGCTTCCTCTTCCTCTTGCTTCCGTCACTATCGGCAACTGCTCGATGTCTCTTCCCATCTTGACAAGCCGCCGAGAACGAACTCCCGGGGTAGTGCTCGCCGTTTTTGCACGCTCAGCCTCGGTGATGTCACGTTCCTTGCGGACCTTTGCCTCCGCCCTCCGCACCGCCTGCTGCTCCTCGTTGCTACCTCTGCAATCTTCTGCTCCAACTGCGGTTGTAGTAGGACCAAAGAACGTCTGGCCTTAACCCTCGCCGGACGCTTCTTCCCTGATCTACGGCCCGAACCTTTCAACCGCGCGCCAGAATCTTGCGCCCGGCGCTCGCCTAGGTGTCTGTACTGGCGTTCTCGCGATGGTGCGTTCCCTCTTCGTTGCCTCTCGCAGCAGTTGGAGAGGATGGGTTCTCCACCTATTGGCCAGCGGGCGGATGCCGCGGGGACACGAGCGGTGTGTACCCCCCCCCACCGCCGGGGGCAACAGCACAAGGGGGAACAACACACCATCTTCTGTCCCGGTTAGCGATGCAGTCGCGTGACTGCACGACATCATGAAGCCACCCCTGAAAGCGAGGTTGCGTACCGACAAAGGAAACGAAAATTGGTTGGTGCTTGGTCACGAATTTGTTACAGCAGCGGTGCTCTTCTTCGTGGTGCCGCCTGGAACTGTCGGTGGCAGTTTCCAGATCAACGTGTCCAAATCTAGTGTTTATCTTTGACGTGTGGCCAGCACGAACGGGTACGCCGAATCACACATGTCACGAAACGTGGGCGGCAGTAGCAATTCACAACGGATCAAATACTGAACGTGGGAGATTTGTCATCGATTTCATAGCATACTAGTGCGATAGATGCAACACACACATAAATTGGGTGTTGCATTGTTGGGGCCTGCTTTCGGTGTGCATTACACTCGGCCACGCACGCACGTGCCTGCGGATGATTACCAACACCTGCGTAGGATCCACATGGGCGTTTTGACGTTTTACCTCGTGATGCTTGAGTGTCTATTACCCCAATCAAGTAATTTCTTTTGCAGTAGGTGGGCATGTGAACTGAGTCTGTTGATCAGTCAACCTACGTTTAGTTGTGGCGTGCCAACCTTATATTCATGCACCCGCGGCAGTACACACGCGTGCCCGTGGTTGCTGGCCATCACGAGCGGGATCCAACGTCAAGCTTGAAATTTGACCTCGTCATTCTTCTGTGTCTCTGTACCAAATGAAGTAATTCTTCGTAAAAGGTAGGTATGTGAGCTTCGTAGATAAAACAATCGAGGTTTCGTTTCATTATGCCAACCTCATGGAAGTGCACCCACGCACCCACCGCTCTACACACGTGTGACTCCGGGTGTTGCCACCATCCACGGGATCCAACAAAAAAATTGAATATTGACCTCGTCATTCTCAAGTGTCTCTGTACCAAATGAAGTATGTCCTTTTGTACTAGGTGGGTACGTGAGCGTAGTCGATAGAAAAAATCAAGGTTTGGTTGCATCGTGCCAACCTCATGGAAGTGCACCCACGCACCCACCGCCCTACACACCCGTGACTACGGATGCCACCATCCACGGGATCCAACAACAAATTTGAATTTTGACGTCGTCATGCTTAGGCGTCTCTGGACCAAATGAAGCCATTCTTTTTGCAATAGATGAGTATGTAAGCTGAGTACGTGGAACAACCCTAATGTCGTTGTATTAAGCCGGAGTCATGAAGAGACTAGGGTGATACTGCTGTTGGGTACGTGATGTCGGTGGCTGTCTTCTGGTGGTACGCTCAGAGTGTATTCCGGATATACACTGCTATGGGGCGTAACTGGTTCAAAGAGTCTCGCCGATTTCTAGTGTATGAGTAACCCAGCGTACCTTTGTCGGAGATTGGAAGCCTACGCTCCTGCTTCGCCCTCTGTCGACGTTGATGTACGGTGAGGACTGCGCGGGTCTCGCCGCTTGCTTGGCAGGGTTTCCAGGGGGGACACACGTTTCCGTTGGAGGCCTCGTTTTCCATACATTTTCTTTTTTTTTTGCTGCGCGTAGCAGTGGGAAGCTACCGGGCGACAAGGTCGGTGCTTATCCAAACTTCTCTCAAATGTTCACGTTCGATGCCAAATCGGCAGAAGACAAATCCGGCCCCACACAAACATTTCCAGACTACTGCTGTGTGTTGATGATAAGGGGGATGGGTTGGGTGTAGATCGAGAGGGCAGAAAAGCCTGCCAAAAGGGTTTCCACGAATCCTTCGAAAGTTGGAAACCCATTGTTCTCAGGAAATTTCCCGGAACTCACCCCCGGGCCGGTCTCGAGTGAAACACTTGATGTTGATCTTTGATGGACTTGATTTCCTTGGTGAAGAGATTTGTAGCAAGAAGGTTTGAGATGAGATGTCCTCAGGACGTGCAGGGCAGAACCCCGAGGTGACGTTGGGCCTGATGTACTCGCGTATATGATAGGCGTTGTCCACCAACAGTCTTCATTGAACTTCATAACTATAGCGTCGCGGGCCGAGAAGAGGATCCCGACCCGAGGCGTAGCCGTAGTTGGAGTGAAGCGAGGAGCTAGAAGATGTAGAGAGCAGGAATGGTGGGGGAATGGCAAGGTGGGGGAAGGAGGGAGCCCGACAACAAATTCCGCGGCGGGATTGCCGCGCAAAGCGACAATCAATCAATCAATCAATCAATCATCACTCGTCGGGAATCAGCTCGCTGGACTTCGTAGTACGGGAGTCTTCCTTGAACACTCGGGAAACGTCCACAGCCAGCCGTGGCGGGGAGGCATGGGGAGATGCTGCCGGGTTGTTAGGTGCAGCTTGCTGTGCAGTGCGCGCTTTCCCAACGGCGCGGGGCGTTGCGCCGAGGAGCAGAGGAAGTGGCATCTGGATGGTCTGCCGGATGTCATTATTTGCCATGAAAAATATGTTCCGATAAAAAAAATTGTGCGGAACTCCTTTGGAAACCCTTTCATTTTTGTGGGGGGACGGTTCGGCCGTAAATGGAGCAGCGTCATGCACGCTGCCACGCCCAGATCTGTTGCCGGGACCATGGTGTCGAACTCTGCAGCTGCGATCCGACAGGTCAGCAAATCTGGGCCCAATGTCATTCACCAGTCAGTGTTGTACACGCCACAGACCCATTCCCTGGAACTGCTGCGAGGTCGTCGAGGCAGCTACATGTGTAGTGTAAGCCCCGCAGTTCGACGGATTGGGTCTTCGTATATAGCAGTGGACCGTGAGTGTCATGGGCCCAGATTTGCCGTCCTTTCGAACCGCAGCTGTAGCCTTCGACAGCACGGCTGGGCGTGTCGTCCCTCACGCACATCGTTGCTCCGTGGATGTTCTCGTCTGGAATAGATGTTCAACTGGGACTCCGCGATGCAACGGCTGTTTATCCGCTATGTCACATATTTTGTCTTGAAATAACAAGGGGTGGGAAAAAGTGTCTTGGTTAGAGAGAAGGAGCGTGGAAGTCGACTCGTAAAAACTATTACGCCTCCATGTAGACTACACGCTTAGAGGAGAGCGATGACCACGCTCCTGTGGCTAATCGCGAAATACAGTAGACAGCTGCTACGCAACCATGTTGGCTACTGAATAGCTCATGGCAGAAGCAATCGTCTGTGTGGGTTACATCACTAGACATGCAGCCCAGCAGCAGCAGATGGGTTGGCTACAGTGTTGCTATGCACTGCTGTGCCTGCTGTGTGTGCTGAGTGTGTTGTCTGCTGCTGTGTTGTAGTTTGGCGTTTTGGTTTTCCGGGGACGTGCCTCCCGCAGCCCAGGGCACAAAGAAGCGAGATATATGTCCGGAGGTGTTGCCCCCCCCCCCCNATGCAGCGCACCCTTCATGCGACTCGCCGAATATCTCAATGCCCTTCGCGCTTGGTGATGTGAAAGCCTGGTCCGGTGAGAACCCGGCGTGCTCCGTCCCGGCTTTGTAGGGATGCGAGGTCAATGGTCTAACGACTACGGCATGCACGACTATGAGTACACCCCCCCCCTGGTTTTAAGAATTTGTAAGTAGGGGGTATGCGGGGCTCCGTGCCATTAATGCATGTGTGGTGTAACCGCTGATGATCATGTCGTAACTCTGGATTCAGACAGATACATCGACTTCGTAAGTCGCGAGGGAAGGGGTTGCTGTACCCTTCTCGCGATAAAAATATCTCAGGCAGGAACCGCAGGAGGGGGTCCAGCCCCCCCCTCCTATGTGACCCCGGTTGGGTCGTCTAGCTAGTAGAAGAGGAGGATAGGGGCCACAGGGGCAGACGACAGAGTCCAATGATGGGAGTAAAAAAAAAAAGGTCACACAGCAAGATGCACACAGAGAACTGTGAGATACAATCACGTGCAACAAACAGTAGCTGGGAACCTGTGTGGCTACGATGTGTGGTTGTACGTTCGTTTGGTGAAGGTGATGTGTACGTGATGTGTACACACAGCAGCAGCAATGTAGTAGCAGTGGTTTGCTTGGTCTGCCACCAGTGACCAGTGCTTGGTTCACCACACACGTGGTTCGCTGGGTTCACCACACGCGTGGTTTGCTTGGTCCACCACCAGTGCCGGGGGGAGGTTGACCCCGCCCCTCACCCACGCGTGGTTTGCTTGGTCCAAAATATACTCACTTGATTTTTAACGAGACCGCAACCAAAGGAAACAAACCAAGAACAATAGGCCGACAAACGCATTCACAATAGAACAAGAACAACAATAGAGACACAATGGGACTTGCCTCTAGGATCTTGAGGAGGGCCTGCTGCACGCCCTCCCCGCTGACGTCGCGGGTGATGCTGACGTTCTCGGTCTTCCTTGAAATCTGACAACCAAAAAGAAAAGCCAGGAGATATGTGTTCGAAAAGTATCACTTCAGGCAAATAATAACGCAGCTTGCGTCACCCACAGCGCGATGGACATCTGGTCGCCAGGAACTGAATGACTCAGCGGCTCAGGAACAGAAAAAAAAAAAATGGTATTTTTTACACTGCAACGAGTCCATCCCACTTGCGTCATCACCACCGACACTACATGTGCATTCAGGTATGCATAATGGCAAACAATCACCGGCAATGTAGCATAGCATCCTCATACTTTCGTAGTATGGACTATGTCCACATTATTGAACAGGTCATGGGACAATAAAAAATAATCAGTTGGCCGAAAATCAAACCCACAAAAAAACTACCGCCACAGCCCAAACATTTGATAGGACGTAACATGGTCAAAAAGCAAGACCCGAAGTACGAACAGTGTGACGGTGTTTATTCAATGTCGCTAGGTTTACGAACGCTAGGTTTTAAGGCCAGAAAAAACTCAATCCGTTACAGAGAAATCCCAAAACAATCGTTTTCTGCCGACCTATGCTCATCTCGAAACATGTCAAAGCGCAACTACTGGGAGTGCGAACCAGATGCAGACCAAACCTAACCTTGTCGATCTCGTCGAGGTAGACGATTCCGCGTTGGCAGCGCTCGATGTCCTGGCCGCTCTCCATGTACAGCTTGTGCAGGATGGACTCGACGTCTTCGCCCACGTATCCGGCCTGAGGACCGGACCAACAAGGGTAGCGAACAGACACACCGGGAAGGGGCCCCGACGAATCAATCAAGGGAGGCAGGGGGCACGCCGATAGTCTTGACGTGGTATGGGCCGTGATGTATACCTCACGGCCATCCCACATCCTACGCTAGGCAATTTTTTCTGTTTGAGCCACGGTTGCCAGAAATTAAGCTTAGGCACTAGTTACAACACTTGTACATAAAGGCGCGTGGTGAATCATGGTGCGCCAAGACTTACGGACGATTACAAACGTCGATGCCAAAAACAAACGAACGACATATGAAACTAGAACAAACGAATCTGCGAAGAAACAAGAAATGAAATCCCCAACCTGACAAAACACCGCACACACATACGCAAACAAAGCAGCAGCCTTGGTAGACATGTGTCGTCCGTTTTCTCAAAAACCGATATTAGCTTAGCCTACCCCATGACGCCCTCTAACGGCGTCGCAAATCACGGCCTTCAGAAACGTTTTCTGTTTTCAACCGCGCTGAGACTGACGAATCTTCATTGGTCAGACGGTATGCGCGGTCGATGCTAACAAACAACGACAAACAAACACAAGCGCACACCTGTGTGAGGCACGTCGCATCCGCAATCACGAGAGGCACGTCTACCAGCTTCGCAAGCGTTTTGGCCAGCAGAGTCTTGCCCGACCCCGTGGGCCCGATGATCATCACGTTCGTCTTGTCGAGGACCACCGGCTCCACCTCGATCCCGTTCGACAGGTTCAGCTTAGCCTTTTGGACGTCCTGCTGCAAGGGAACAACCGAGAGGGCAGTGCATCGGGAGGTGTTGCTCCTTGTGAGTGGTTATTTCGTGGTGTGAATGAACCTCAACAACGTCGTCATTATCAGCAGTGACAAGTGCTGCTGCTTAAACGAGGTGGGTTTAACGGAGAACTGCTGCCATCGTATCGACACAACATTTCCCCCCTCGAGAGCTGTTGGCTGCCTGCGACAAGCTTGGGCGATGTGCCGGTACCAGCGTCGTACAAAGTGCAAGACTGCAAGGGGTGTGGCGTGTGGGAACGACGAAGGGGAAACTTACCCGCCCATTGTCTTGTGGAGGAGGAGGCGGTCCTTGCTGCTCCTGCTGTCGCTGACGGTGCCGTTGATACTGCTGGTACTGGTGCTCCTGCATGTGCTGCTGCTCAACAGCCGGCAGGAGAAAAGAAACAAAAATATTCCGCAGGGAAAGACGCGTGATGTACTGTATGTACCATGGAAAAGGAGCACACAGCGATGGCTAAGTCTGTCTGCCATCCCGTTGTCTCCTCTGCGTACTGAACAGCAGAAACGACCTGTCCCCACCGCCACACCGCACTCACGCCTCNACATAAGGAGGGTCTAGAAGTGAACGGAACGTTGAAGGAAGGAATAGGGTTCAAGGACTACCTACATGGACCAATGGATGCAGGAACAAAGCTTAAGGTCAAACTCAGGACCGGGGACATAGGCCTTCGAGTACGTCGACGAAGACATAGGACGGTAGACGACAAAGACGACGAGTTCAAATGTGATTGCGGCTTCGAACGAGAAGGCCGTGTTCATGTAGTCGCGGAATGTCCGTTGTGCAAGAAGGAGAGGGAAGTGTACGTGACTGAGCTGGGAAAAATAGATGGAACGTACAGGGAGATGTTTGAGGCATGGAATAGAGAGGAAAGGACGGTAGCTGAAGTGGGGCATAGGAGGTGGGTTGAAAAGGCGGGAAGCGACATCGTTAGGATAGACAGACTAGGGAAGACATTTTTGAGCCACCTTTGGCAAAGTAGAAAGGAACGATTGGCCATCGGTGATCGGTCCTGCGGGAACAATGCTTTGTCCTCTCGAGGACGCGTGGTCAATGGTCTAACCGCTATGGCATGCAAAACATAAGAGTACGCCCCCCCCCCACCTCCTCGGACCACCCCCCTCACCCACGCGTGGTTTGCTTGGTCCAAAATATATTTATTTGATTTTTAACAATGGGCTGTTGGAGAAAACCCCAAGCGGCTACCCTGTGTCTACCAAACACAGGACCTTCTTTTTGTTGCACACATCTTCCCCGCTAGTCGTGCAATCTCGCCTACAGTTAAGGATTTGCGTGCTCCCTCGATCGTTTCAAAATCAGCCAAATCAAGATCGATCGTTAAAAACCTCTCCATCACCAAGTTCTTGGGTAGTGACGCGGTCTGCGACGCGGATGAATATTTATAGTTCTGTTATCGGGTGAGGACCCCAGAGCCACCGCTTTGGCGGCGATTGTCCCGGGAATGCTCTGGCTCGCGAAAAAATCATGCCAATGCCAAGTAGGGTACCCGCCGTCCAGTTTGGCAAACGCCGCGGTAGGACTTCGCGCCCAACGCCGCTGCTCAAGCCTACGTGCGACTCCTCCAACTATTGAAACTATTACTAACAACCAGGTCGCTGCGAGATCGCAAGACCAGGCCGCTGTGCTTAACCTCAACCTCCCTCGAGTATGCCGCCAGCGGCAAGGCAGACTCAGCGCCGCTTACGCTGAGCCTCGCGGATGTTGTCGGAGCCAAGGCCGGACCCGCTCCTCCCTCGGGTGGAGGAGGAGCGAGGGGTGGTATCAACAGGGGCGGGGGTATCGTGCACCAGTTGCAGGTCTTCGCGTACGTCGAGAGCGGCGAGGGCAAGGAGACGGGATGCACTGGCAGGGGCGGGTGAGTTCGATGCGTGTAAGTGTCTGCTTGTAGCGGTAACGCCTGCCGCTTCCTAGTAGCTCAAGCCCTTGAAGCGGTGGGCGGAGGCACGATGGTTCCTGAGAGCCCTCTTCCCTTGCTGCCGCACGACTCGCGTTGTGGGTTTCGATCGCACCATCCAGTCTCGCAAAGTTGAAAACAGCAAGGGTTGTCGTTTGTGCCTGATGTAGCTGTTCCTCAGGCTAAGGGGGCACCAGGAGCATGGGTCGCGAACCCTCCTTCATGCGAAATGCACCGGAGGAGTTCCGGCCACCGAAATTCATTTGTGGCAACACTTGTGGCAATACTACCTGACGGCAGCAACATTAGAGGTATCTACGTCGACTCCATTCAAAACGTGCCCCCCTCTCACTTGTTGTCTTTTTGCTCCCCCTCCCTTCCTTCCTCCCTCCGTCCCACCCAATCCTTTGGGAGCAGGCCATGTCGAAAAAATAAACGAAGAGCCGCCCATCAGACGTGGCTGGCGTCCGATCCTGACACAGCTCAGCACTGGGCCACGGAGATCAACAAACGGCTCAGGCAGAGCCAAGGGCGGGAGGAAGGTCTGGAGGGAGGGAAGAGGGGGCCAGGTCGACGACTGCTGGTCTTGGTCAACCCGGTTAGTGGGACGGGTGAATCGCGGTCTACATGGGAGAAGACCCTCAGGTCTGTCGCAAGCAACGGCGCCGAGTGCTGTGCTGCGTCTGTTTGGAATTAGCACCCCTGCTGATTTGCTCTGCTGCTACGAGTCTTTGCTGCACTCTGTTCGACGCAATTGATACTCTTGTTGATGTGCTCTAATGCTACGAGTCTCCCGCTGCACTCTGTTACATGCAATTGGTACTCCTGTTGATGTGCACTAATGCTACGAGTCTTCGCGGCTCTCTATTTAATGTAATCGCGGCACGTGGGGTGATTGGGTGTTGTCCCTGTTGCTTATGTCGGGTTGAAGTTTTCGAGGACTACCTTGCCTATGGTTTGAAAGTGGTGCGTTCAGAAGGGTTGCGTGTTGGGTATCTCGCTGCCGGCGAAACGATTTAATAGAACGCTCCAATGTCTGCAGGTTTCGTCTCCGTCGTTTGGTCATGCATTCGACCGCTGTCGCTTCGTGCACAAAAACGACAGGACCGTTTCCAACCAGCCCTGTGCCCCGCTCCTTGATGCTGCCTCGTGGTATTATTATTTAGCTCCTCTGGCACTGCTCTCCACTAGGCACAGCTTCCCCATGACCCGTCCCCGTTGGCCAACCACGCGTCACGAAACCCTGACCCCAAAACCAGGCCGATGCTAGAGCAAGCCATGACTACCGTCACCGTAGTGTTCTCTACACGGCGGGGCGAGCTAGCGGAAATCATCACGAACGCTGGCGAAAACAGCAGCACCGATGGAGCGAGGGGCGCATCAGCCGGGCGGGGAGGTGGCCGGTCGATCGTGGGAAGCTTGGGCGACTTGGACGGTATCGTGGTCGTTGGAGGGGATGGCACCTTCTTCGAGGTGTGCGACCTTCTTGTACATTAGTCTGCACTGTATAGTGACGATATGTCGCAGGCTACTATATTTAACCGGTACTACTCTATACCGACAGCGGCACTGTTCAGAGTACCTAACGACTTGGTATTTCAGTGAGTGCGAGCTGACCACACCGGCATGATACCGGCGGGCACCCGGCACTATTCGACCGGCAATATACAGGACCTCCAGTACCGTAAATGTATGTTGTCATGCTCCGGAGACCATTTGGTGGCGGCGTTGATGTCGGGGGAACAGCGGGATCTGGTGGTTGGAACGGCCGAGAAAGGTGAAGAAAGCCGTGATTCGCAGGCCCGGGTCTCATAGCGTTGCTTCACAAGTTCCCAGTCGAGTATATCCAGACTGCCGAAAAAATGACCTGGAGTCCAGAGGGTACGACTTATCAATCCTGTTACTAATAAGTCGCCCTTTTGGTGCGAATCCAAGGTGTTATCGCTGTGTCCCATTTCATGTGGTCCTTGCGTTGTGGGGTCAGGTCCTTCAGGGCATGTACGCCCGGCCGGACTGTGCGCGGCAGCTGTCGAGGCTATCCCTAGGCATCGTGCCCACGGGATCAGGAAACGGCTTGGCCAAGACGGTGAGAGCGACGGACGGGTACCGATTGTCATGTCTAGCGAGGCATCATCGTTATGGACGTATGCGTTCGTTGGTGCATGTTTCTCAGTTCTTGGAGGACATCAATGAACTGAAGCAGGCATGACGAACGCTCGCTCGGGGGCTCCGTGATTGGAACCTCCTCTTGTACGTTAAATACGACATCCCCGCGGTCGAGTGGGCTACACCTTGTGCAAGCTGCTGGGGGCAGGCCACGCCCAGAGCAGCTCGTAGCTTACCACTTCGGACCACGCATGAAACGCCGTCCCCCCTGTCTCTCGTAAAATACCATCCCAGCATGAAATTGAAAATATGAGCGGTCTGCCGTCTGGAACAGGTGAGTGTGGAGTCCGGAGAATGGTTCGGCGCGGTTAGCGCGTCCTTTCTCGCTGCAAAGGGCCAGACGAAGGCGATGGACCTGCTGCTCACCGAGTCGGGAGACAAAAAGTACCTGGCATTCCTCAACGTCGGGTGGGGCATGATCAGGTGAGAAACTCTTTTGCCAGACGGGATACGCCAGATCAAAACGAAACCTCCAAGGGCAGCAGACTTTTTAACCTCTACCTCTCCGACACGCCCTTAGTGCGCATGCAGTAGAGAAGAGTGTCCCTTACGCCTGTCGTTTGATCCCCAAGGCACGCGTATTCACTCCGTGTGTCCCCATGTGCCATGTGGATTCACTTATCTCATTCATGGGAGATGCGTCCACTCATCCCGCTTTCACGGCCTTACACGAAGCTTGCTTGGGATTGTTCCGCAAACCACAAGTAAGTCAGCTTCCATGTGGCAGCGTGTAATCTTCATCTTTCTGTCAGTCGTCCCTCCCATCCTCGCTTCCGGTGCGGTGCCGTCGAATCCCCTTGCTTCCCCCACCCCGTTGTCTACACCAGCCGTACCGTTGGCGCGTGCAGATAATTAACATCTGGAGGGCGAGCAAACCTTCTCTAGGGGGCGTGTCTCAGCAACGACGGCCGCATGCTTTCGCAATGCCCCAGCCGGTCCGAAGCGTGTGCGAAGGAAGCGCAATCGGAGGGTCCGATACGGTGCTCAGGTCGCATTTTTCACTTCACCTTTTCCATACGGTACCAAGAAAGATAGCACATCCATAAAGGTTACGCCACCCCCCAAGGAATACCACACCCGGTGATCATGTTCTCGCGGCTGCACATGAGAGCGAAACATAAGAGCGCCCATGCACTCAGCATGTTGTTTTTTTAAGGACACGCCGCTACTGTGCGTGAGTCAGGTTGACGCATTTCTAGATCTCTGTTGCCACGTATCCCCTCATTCCCAACCCCCTACATGCCGATATGCCTCCTCCTTCTCAGCGATGTCGACATCGAGTCGGAGGCTTACCGCTGGATGGGGTCTCTTCGATTCACCGTCGGTACTATCGTGCGCATTGTCAACCTCAAGCACTACAGGGGACGGATAAGCTTTCTCCTTGACCTGGATGCCGCTGCCTCCACAACCCCTCCTCCTTCGGTAGGCCTTTCTAGGAGCTTCCACCAGCAGTAGTCTACGCAGGGTTTTCTGAAAAGGCAAACTACGAACATAAAGTATAGTACCGGCGAAGTTTGTAAGGAAGCAAACATACTGGGTAAAGCAAAAGATCGGCTAAGTTGGAGTTAGGGTCTGCGTGCCCCCTCCCTGGTCTTCTTTAGGTTTATGTAAGCTGACTTTCTTTGCGCAGTCCTTCAATGAGGAGGGTGCTGACAGTACCCCGCCAAGCCGAGCTACACTATTGTGTAATCTTTGCGGTCATCCGTCGGCTCTGATTTTCCCGTGGAACGTGGTTTATGTGAGAAAGCATGGATGGGGAATTCCGGCTGCTATGTTGCCCGATCAATTCGGTTTGGGGCCACGCCAACTCGGCAACCGCTCAAGCGTCAAGAACTTCAACAACAGCACCTCGCTAAATAGCGAGTATTATGTCCTAGTTTTGGTACAAGTCTACGTCAGCGAGGGCTGCCTGATTGTTGTTGTACTTCACCCCTCGCCACTTAGCACATTCCTATGTGCCCCCGCCGTTCCGATCTACCATACCTTTCGGCTACCCCTTGGGGGAGAAGGACGCCTCAGCATCGGCCCCGTTCCGCATGCCACCGTTGTCGGAGCCCGTACACCAAGACGGCGCTGGTTCTGAGTCCGCCGCTGCGGGAGCTCCCGCCCTCGAGGGCTGGACCAGCGTAGAGGGGGAGTTCATCCTCGCTGACATGACACAGGTTTGAGGCTACAAACCGTATTACTCTACCTTCCGTGGTACGGTTTCCGGGCGCATTAAGTGTTTCTCGTGATTCCGTCTCGGCAGCACGTGGGAATCGGAGGCTCAGTCGATTGAAGGAAGCTATGAACCCGTTGCCACCTTTGCTCCCTCGGCGGTAACCGCGCTCATGGCATCCTGTAACAATGTCGTTACGTGTCTGCATTACACTTGGCGCGATTTCATCGCTGTGATAAAGGATTTAGATTTTTAGTCTTGTGCGGATTAGGTGTTTCTCTGGCGGGCCCTAACACTACCACTCGCACCATTTCCTCCATCGTCATCATCATCAACACAACAACAACAATATCAACATCACCTAGTCTTGCCCTTTCCAATTCCACCGTTGGACAGACCTCACATATCGCGCACGACATGCCCATGGCTCCCCACTCTCGCCTTGGCGACGGCCTGATTGACCTATTCTTCATCAAGAAGGGGGCCAGCAGATTCGCCATGATACAGGTGCGCTTAACAACATGTTGCACATGTGCGTACCTCAAGCACAAAATTGCTGTACTGGCTTGTCTTCTTTGCTGCCTGGGACTCAAGCATTAATTTCACGCATCAGGACTACGAGGAACTCGACGTGTGCCTTTGGGTAGATTCGTTTCCCAGCGCACTCGGCACCGAGATTTTCATATACCGGGTAATCGTTAACCTCTCTCCATCAGGCGCCTCTGTAGGGCTACGGCAACACGCCGCCAACCCCACCTCCACCATTGATTAACCGACCCACCACGCTCCCGAACAACTTTCACAGATGTTTCTAGCAATGGAAAAAGGCGGGCACATCTCGCCTCGCTTTCCGTGCATCTCGTGGCACCGCGTTCGGGCGTTCCGAATTGAGCCGCTAACGACAAGCGGGAGGCTCACGGTCGACGGAGAGCTCGTGGACTACGCACCGTTGCAACAGCACGTATGGCGCAAGGCCGCGCATGTTTATTGCTCGCCAGATGATGACGCGGAGAGACTACCAGCGTGTTTAGGACCGTAGCCAAGGGCGCCTTGCTCTGAGGTCGGTCTGAACGAACACCCTATATATGTGGTGGCGTCGAAGTAGGCCATGCCGGAGGAAGCTGTTTCGGTCTACAAAGTGCGTCGCCCTGAGTAACAACACGCTGCATTGCTATTGCCAGTTGTACACAGGTAATTATTGTCGCTCACTATGTGTAGTCTCGGTCTGAAGAACAAACTGCGTTCATCGCGCGAGTACTACACACAAGGCATTATCTATATAATAAAATTGTCTTCAACAAAGCGCTATAATAGCGCTGTAGGGGAACTAAGCACGTTGTCAGGCGTGCAAAGCTCGTCTTGTCACCCACACGCACTTGCACGTTTGGTGTCGTGCGCCATACACACAAGATGCATTCGATTTCAATTTTTTGAGTTTTCATTCGATTCTGCAAGTCGCAAGACAAACATGCGCCGCATTTCGTTGTGTTCTTCATCGCTGTGAGAGTCAAGACCACCCACCGTCCGCACGTTCACTTTATCGAATTTTCGTTGTTGTCATTAAGTAGGTACTGATTTTTCGGCGGGTGTGGTTTGGTTAAGGAGTGTTGCAGTTGGGTTAGATTTGGGTGTACCTGATAGACGTTACGGTGTGGGTTGGCTTCTGTACGCGTGTGAGGGTTTCCGTGTTTTTTATAAGCCTGCGTTGTCTCAATATTGGTGTGGGGGGTAGGTTCGAGATATTTCCACATGCTTTCCTTCTCTGGACTGACTGTTGTAAGAAATTTTCTTCAACGTATGCTCGTACGACAGTTTTCTCGGATTCGAGCATGGAATAATAAACGATCTTCGGGTTGGGCTGGTGTTTCTGAGTGTTGTTGCACTTGGCATTGTAAGGGTGTATCTAAGGATGTGGGATGTTATGCATGTGGTTTCGTAGCCGTTCGTGGGAGAATGGTTGCACATCCAATCCGTGTCTTGTCTCGGGGAACAGAGCGTACAAAGTGTTGGGTGACCCCCGAATACTAATTACTGTAGAAGAGGTTTGTATGCCAAGCTCTTGTGTTGGGCCATGGGCTCCTGCCGGTTTTTCTTCCGAACGGGCAGGGTACACGAGAAGGGACGTCCGGAGCAGCAACACAAAAACGTCTGAGTATCGATCTCCGGCTTGGTCAAGGTTTTTGTTTTGCTGTTGCGGGGTACTGCTGTACATGCAGGCTAACTTCAGAAGTCTTCGGTGGAAACGGTTGTTGGTTGGACCGCGCGGGTCGCTCTTCGCGCCAGCTGGAGGAGAGATGAAGTATACGCCACAACACTACCACATAGTCTAGTCTGTACACAAGTGGACCAAATAGTCTGTACGCACGTTCTAATCGGGACCGAAACGCATGCAGTAATAATTCCAGTTACGCCGGGATGTGCGTATATTGCGTGTTTTGTTGTTGTTGTCTTATCTCCGTCTCCGTACCCACAAGGAACTCTGCAGTAGACTGCTGTACGCCACGTGAATAAGTTCAAAATGATGTACCCGTCTCGAAGACTTTGTAACAGATTTGGGATTTCTTGTGGCCTAAATGAAGTGCAGCCAGTCGCACTACAGCAGTACATGTACTGCTGTACCATGCATACTACCGCTGCTGCACGTAAGTGGTAACGAACGGTCCACAGCACGGCAACGGGGCTACCCTCTCATTCGTGCAACACTATGAAGGAAGCACAGATAGACTAGATGACGTTGACCCCACAAGTCAAGAGGAGAGCAATCTAAGATCCATCGCCCCTGTGCCGTTTTGCAACCTCACGCGCACGCGGCTACTGCCTACTCAAAGATACGAATTGCACATCTTGTTACGGACTGCAGACCACGTGTAAAGCACAACACTTTTCGGGGGCGCAGCGATCTCGGGTAGACTTTACTTGTCCTATAGACTATCCGTATGTTTTCGAACTTGTGAAAAGATTACGGGCTTGACCTTCCGCCAACAATGGCCACCAACGGTCGCAGGCGCCTCAAAGATCTAAAGGATCGATGAAAGCAACGGTGCATGAGACCAACCATGCTGTCAAACTGAAGCAAACCAGTAAACCACCGTGAAACCGTTAGTTGCGGTGAAATGTCCGCCGTTTCGGCGAGCAGATGGCCAAACTTCAAACTCAACAACTCACACGGTCTCACGGTTCACCATCGAACGTACGCAAGACGCGCCCTCCCCACCGGATCCCTAAGTCTCTACAGCAGTGCGCCATACCTGTCCCCGTAAACCCGTTCCTTCAGCTGGTGAGTAGGATGGCACTGTGGTAAGGACGACCATGAACCCGACGTCCTTGAGCGTGTGCTGATGTTTGAACGGAGTACGTACAGCATGTTGGTACGAACCGGGCGATTGTTTTTCAGCTGAGTTTGAACTTCCGAACTGGCTCCCGCCGCGGCAATCTTTGATCTCCGCTTTGAGACACCCCACCCTACCACCAACCCCCCCCTTCCCCCCCTGCCTATGTTCCTCGAGACCCTAACACCATCCCGCTGCCTTGACCACCGGTTGTCGAACATATCTTGTCCTTGTCGTCTCAATTCAGCCGATTTTCGAAGTCGTGACGGCTGCCTTTTTCGAGGACATCAGATCATCGTCTCCTCACCCGTTCCTTCTACGTTCTCTGGGGGGGTATTAAGCTATGCTTGTGTTCAAGAGCGCCGGGTTTCTTGCAGCCGTCCTCATCGCGATTGCGGGCGTGACGAACAGCGAGGCAATCGTGAAGGAGGATGCGTTCAAGGAATGCCAAACACACTGCGGCAGCGAGCACGTGGGGGAACAGGGAAGAGCGGAGCTGCTCTGTGTCGACCTTTGCCGCCTCTGGAACCCAGCAGCGCTTGACAAACCACAAGAACGGTGAGCTACAGCGCAAGAGCGCCCACTGAATTACATCGAATCAAGCGTGTGATGTATTCCCTTTGAAGGGTTTCGTAGCGTTGGATTGCGGGGGGCGGTCGGGGGGCTGCTGCATAGGTGGTCTACAGCGGTACGTTCGTTTGGCGTTTGGATATGATGGTTTGGATTTTTTTTTTGCAGCAGCCAAGCAGCAGTTTGCAGGAAAACGCAGCACTCTGGTTTACTATGCTAGCAGTACTGCTTTGTAACAGGAGCTACAGCAACAGCTGCGGGGACCGTTAATTAGCGATTCCCTTGGTGAGCGGCATGCCCTGTTCATTGTGGTGTGACACCGCTGCACCCCGGTCCAGCGGTTCGCAAAAAACGGCTACAGCGGTAGTAGAGTCCACAAAGCGAGCATTTGAGCTGGTTCGTCTTCTGAGAGCGAGCAAAGTAGCAGGAAAACTTGGTCGATTCAAATTTCTCTGACACACTTCGGGCGCACGCACGTACACCAAGTAGCCTGCCGGGAGCCGGGTGATGACTAGATGGCGTGCTCGCGTTTTGCCCCGTTTGCCAGCCGATTAGCGCTTTCGATGCTATTTACCTTGGTCCGCTAGAGGAAGAATGCTCAGGGGCGGGTAGATGTTGTTCCTCATTGAGCACGCTGCGGAACCAGCGCGTCGGGCAGATAGGCAACATGGAGGAGGACATGCTTGGCTAAGCATGACCGAAACGCACGAAGCTGTATTTGGTGCTTGTATTATCCATGCGGGGAGGGTAGGTTCTCTTCGTCCACCTTCGAATGACTGCTGCAATGAGACACCCCCGTTAACGGAGGGTCTAGAAGTGTACGGAATGTTGAAGGAAGGAATAGGCTTCAAGGATTACCTACATGGACCAATGGATGCAGGAACAAAGCTTAAGGTCAAACTCAGGACCGGGGACATAGGCCTTCGAGAACGTCGACGAAGACATAGGACGGTAGACGAGGAAGACGACGAGTTCAAATGTGATCGCGGCTTCGAATGCGAAGACCGTGTTAATGTAGTCGCGGAATGTCCGTTGTACAAGGAGAGAGAAGTGTACGTGACTGAGCTGGGAAAAATATGTAGGACCACTGCATTGTTGAGGCTGTCGGTTCATTGGCGGTTTTTTAAACCGCTCAACCGGACCCTACGTTGATGCTCTCAACCGGGTTTAGAGGCATGCCCTAAAAAATAGCGGTTATGTCTCGTACTGAAAGCATGTCATGAAGCGCAAATCCCTGGGGGGGTTATCTTTCAGACTGTACAATTATACATACAGGTTTGTTTGTAAGCGTGTCTTTGAGGTTCGTTGAGCTTCTTTGAGGTTCGCTGGACTCTCCGAGACAAAAACACGTCAGCCGTGTGAGGTGTTGGAGCTTGGGAAACGTCACAGCTGGCAGCTGGCCGGCTGTGAGCTTTTGCTGCTGCCTATTTCATCTTGCATCACCCCCGCGTGACCCTGTTGTTATTTCATGAGCCCAAGCGGGTGATCACTTGTAGTCTTATGCTTTTTTGGATTTTTTTGGTTTTTTATGCGGTCAACCGTTTTTTAGCCTTCTCTCGCCGCGTCACATGACGGTTTTTCAATGAGGTTAGAAGGCCAATGGACCCTCTCAAAAAACATTAATAATCCCATCACTCAGCGTCATGGTCACCAAATATTATTACAGTAGTGTGAACGAATCGTGCTATTTCCAGAGCTTACCATACGGAGACACTTTCGCCAGGCGTGCGTGACGAACCTGTGTGTGTGTGCGAACCGGAGGGAGTTGATTCAGTCAGTGTATTGGCTTCGTTTCTTGTCCCGCTGCAAGAAAGACTGGCATATTTTCACCCATCAGCCGGTTAGTCAATGCTATGTTTGTATTTAGTTCACCATGCACCCACACACACGCGTCCCAAGCATGACGTAACTCGCTACAGACTCATGATGGCTGTTGTATTTTTTCGCTGGCCATCCGGGTGCAAAGGCGATCTATGTTCTCAAATTGCATGTCGGGAAATACAATGCATTAAATATATATATTTTTTTATTTCGCTTTTATAAGTGAACCCCGTCAAACTGTAAGTAACGCAGACCTGAAAATCCGCTAGTGACGCCATCGTACCGAGAAATAATAGCAGTTAATAACCCACTTTGGGGAAGCAGCCGTGGCACACGTCAATCTATTGACAAAGAAAGCAGCCCACTACTGGAACCAAGAATGCTCGCAGCTTTGTCCCGCAGAACGTATGGCTGACGTCTATTCGTGGGTCGGTCGATGCTACATACAGATGATACAGAATCGCACACGCTTTCTTTTTCAAACGTCGTTTGTTCGTTCTCCCTTTAGCTAAACCTATGCATTCCCCCCGCCCCCCCTCTTTTGGTGTCGCAGGTCATGAAGTGCATGCGAAACAAATATTGCGAGGACGGAGAAAGCTGGATGCTTGATTGATTGGCCGCAACATCCATGAAGCAGAGCTCGAAGCAAAAGAAACAGGGCCTAAAGGTGGCGGTCAAGACCGCACGAAAGTCAGCAAATCGGCGAAATCACTGCCCGCAGACGACGGGCGACGATGACGAAGAAGCTACCATGTACATTACTACTTAATTACCGGTTTGGACAACAAGTTGGTTTGAAGAAAAAAAAAAATGACCCATCCGTCATCATCAGTGGCCTGGGGAACACCTTTTGGTTTGTATGTATGACCCAGGTTGCACGTGAGGTGGGGAGTGAACGCGAAGAAAGTGAGAGGAGGGATCCCGGCAGGGCTCTCCTTATAGTTTGTGTGGTTTGCTGCTTTCTTGAAGGGAGATCGGATGTAGTAGTCTACACGTGTTGGGTTCGTACCCGTTTGCCGCTGGCGTTTATTCAATTATCAGCCGCGAGCGTGGGCAACGATGCTGGTAGAAAACGTGAGTTAGTTGTCGTGCCCCAGGGGTAGACTAGTGGATTTGGAAACTGTGCGGGTATCTCCGGAGATGGGGTGTCACACAAAGAGGTCTGTCTGTGAAGGTCGGTTGTTGGGTTGAGTGGTACTGCTGGCAGTAGTGAGGCGTACACGCCACACCGTTGGCTACCTGGTATAATGTCGTTGGCTACCTGGTATAATGTTCGCGTAATCTGTGCACATTGTTTTGTATGAAGATTACACGATCATGGTTGTTTGCTTGTCGGGCGTTTTCGAGTATCACGAGCAGAAGCCAACGTTTCTTCCTTTTCTTTTTTTTGTTCGCCGTGTGCGCCGGAAGGTCCGATTGTATGTATGCATTGGAGGTGTATTTAGACGAGTGTGAGGCGTGCGCTGGCATTGATTGCAAGAGGGAGGGTCAAATGTCATTCATGCATGTATTTAGTCTAAGAGTTTGTTTGCTGGTGGGCCCGCGACGCTGACAAGCTGTATGAAGTGCAGTTATTTCCAACCACCTTGCAGTTTTCCCTTGGCTTGTGTGTAGAATAGTGACTGACTTGAATGTAGGCCTTTGGCGTAGATTGAAACCAAGGACGCCAGATTGAATCCAAGGACCGTCCTCAGGATTGGAACCCACGCCCTTAGGTTGAAACCAATGACCATCTTCACGATTGGAATCGAGGGCACCAGATTGAACCCAAGGACCGTCCTCACGATTGGAACTGACGCCCCCAGGTTGAACCCAAGGACCGTCCTCACGATTGGAACCAAGTCCCCTAAGTTGAAATGAGGGACCGTCTTTACGACTGGCACCGACGCGCTTACATTGAAACCAAGGACCGTCTTCACGATTGGAACCAAGCGCGTCAGGTTGAACCCAAGGACAGTCCTCACGATTAGAACCAATGGCCTCAGATCGGTTGCAAGAAGCGCCTTGGCGAAAATACCAAACGGCCCAAGGTTAAACCCACATACCGTGCTCGCGATTGGAACGAAGGCCCCCAGCTTGAAAAGAGAGACCGTCCCCAACCGACACCCCCAGCTCGAAACCAATGACCGTTTTCATGCAAGGACGCCGAATCGAAACCAAGGACCGTCCTCACGATGGGAAACAAGGGCGCCAGATGACAACCAAGGACCGTCCTCACGATTGGAACCGACGCGCTTAGATTGAAAGTTCGTCTTCACGCTTGGAACCAAGGGCATTGAAACCAAGGAAAGGTCCTCACAACTGGCACCGACGCCCGCAGGTTGAACCCAGAGACCGTCTTCACGATTAGAACCAAGGGCGCCGAATTTGAAACCAAAGACCGCCCTAAGAACTGGCACGGACGCCCCCAGGTTGAACACAGAGACCACCCTCGCTATTGGAATAAAAGGCGCCGGATTGTGTCCAAGGATCGTCCTCAAGATTGGAACCGACGCCACCAGGTTGGAACCAATGACCGTCGTTCCTTACGATTGGAGCCAAGGGCGTCGAATTGAAACCAAGGACCGTCCTCACGACTGGAACCCACGCACGCAGCTTGAAACCAAAAACGGACCTCACGATTGGAACCAAGGGCGCCAGATGGAACCCAATGACCGTCCTCACGTTTGAAACCTTAGCCCCCAGGTTGAAACCAATGACCACCCCGACGAATGGAACCAAGGGCGCCGAGTCGAAACCAAGGGCTGTCATCACGATTGGAACCAAGGGGCGCCGGGTTGAAATCGAGACCGTCCTCACGATTGGAACCAAGGTCCCAGGGTGAAACCAAGGGCCGTCCTCACGATTGAAAGCAAGGCCGCCAGGTTGAACCCAAGGACAGTCCTCACGATTGGAACCAAGGCCCCCAGGTTGAAACCAAGGACCTTCGCCACGCTTGGAACCACCAACGCCAGATTGGAGAGATTGGAACCAAGGACCGTCCTCACGATTGGAACCAAGGGCGCCGCGTCGAAACCAAGGACTGTCATCACGATTAGAACCAAGGGGCGCCGGGTTGAAACCGAGGACCGTCCTCACGATTGGAACCAAGGTCTCAGGGTGAAACCAAGGACCGTCCTCACGATTGAAAGCAAGGCGGCCAGGTTGAACCCAAGGACAGTCCTCACGATTGGAACCAAGGCCCCCAGGTTGAAACCAAGGACCTTCCCCACGCTTGGAACCATCAACGCCAGATTGGAGAGATTGGAACCAAGGACCGTCCTCACGATTGGAACCAAGGGCCTCAGATCGGAACCAAGGAGCGCCTTCACGAAAATATCATACGCCCCTGGTTGAAACCAAGGATTGCCTTCACGATCAGAAACAAGGCGCGCCAGGTTGAATAGAAGAGCCGTCCCCACGATTGAAGCCGNGGTTGAAACCAAGGACCTTCGCCACGCTTGGAACCACCAACGCCAGATTGGAGAGATTGGAACCAAGGACCGTCCTCACGATTGGAACCAAGGGCGCCGCGTCGAAACCAAGGACTGTCATCACGATTAGAACCAAGGGGCGCCGGGTTGAAACCGAGGACCGTCCTCACGATTGGAACCAAGGTCTCAGGGTGAAACCAAGGACCGTCCTCACGATTGAAAGCAAGGCGGCCAGGTTGAACCCAAGGACAGTCCTCACGATTGGAACCAAGGCCCCCAGGTTGAAACCAAGGACCTTCCCCACGCTTGGAACCATCAACGCCAGATTGGAGAGATTGGAACCAAGGACCGTCCTCACGATTGGAACCAAGGGCCTCAGATCGGAACCAAGGAGCGCCTTCACGAAAATATCATACGCCCCTGGTTGAAACCAAGGATTGCCTTCACGATCAGAAACAAGGCGCGCCAGGTTGAATAGAAGAGCCGTCCCCACGATTGAAGCCGACGCCCCCAGCTTGAAACCAATGACCGTCCTCACTTTTGGAACCAAGGGTACCGAATCGAAACCAAGGCCCGTCCTGACAATCGGCACCGATGCCCCCGGGTTGAACCCAGAGAGCGTCCTCACGATTGGAACCAAGGACGCCGGGTGTAACCAAGGACCGTCCTCGCGATTGGACCCAAAGCCCGCTGGTTAAAACCATAGACCGTCTTCACGCTTGGAACCACGAACGCCAGATTGGAACCAAGGACCGTCCTCACGATTGGAACCAGAAACTCGCGCGGGCAACTTTGAACTTTGAGGAAGGGAAATAGTGCTGTTCGAAATTCCAACGAACGATGATGGTGGTGGTGGATGCACACAATTTCTCGGTGGTTTGCGAAGTTCGTCGAAGTAGGAAATATCCTTTTGTTTTATTTGTTTCAGAAGCGACACCAACCTCCGCCTCGTCCGTAAGCTTCGAGTTTCCAAGGCTAAATTAGCGGTTGACTGCTGAAATGATCGCGGGTCGCTCTGCAGTCTTTTTTAACTGTTGACAAGAAGGCTGTTTCTTTCTCATACTTTGTTCCACGGCTGGGTTGAAGTTTGGTATACGCTTACCTTTCCGCAAAGTGGTGCGATATTTGCCGCCCGCGTTGATGGCGAATCCCACGCGCATGTTTTAAGTACGTGCGTGGCCATGTTGGCGCGGGATTCTTCGCGTTGCCGTCCCATCAATTCGTCGAAGATGTCGCGGGGAAGGAGGCTTCTTCCAGAACTAAACCGACTACCGTGTACTTTGGATAAACCGAGTTGTCGTTGCTTTCCGCTACAACATGCCAATCATGGGTGCCAAAAGCTACAGAACGCCGTGCGTGGGACTTTCCTCGACATGTGCGACACGCACGAGGTCCTTGCCCAACTTGCTGCGCTTGCATCGAGATATTGTCCCATTAAGGAATGCGGCGTCTTCGCCTATGTACCTGCTGCATGGTTGCCATGCTCAGCCACGTTTGCTTGTGTTTTTTCCTCCCTTGCTTGCAATCCCGTTTTCGTCGTGCTTTGTTTGGCTCAACACCATCGTCAGCCTTATATTGCTCTCCCACCCACTCCTCGTACTTACTTCCTTCACCCGCGTGCCCCTTCCCCTGACTGGAACACCGCTCGCACGGCCAGCGAGCGGACCCCGCAACATACTAGGAGAGGGTGATCGTTGAATTACCCCCTGTTGTACCACCAGTTCCAGGGTAGTCGCACGTAAACCGTAGTCCCCCACTCTAATGCTTACCATACCCAGTGACACACTTCGTTTATCCCCCGGAGTATTCACCTTTTCTTGTTCCTGTGATCTCCGTACTACATTACGCGTGGTAAATGCCGATTTTTTGGTATTTTGGGTATTTTTGTGTCTTATCATTCTGCCATGCCCTTGGCATTCGGCACAACAACCATCGCTCAACATGAAAAAAAAAATATACACCTCAGCGATGCATAAACAGAACCTTTCATTATCGGAAGTAGCAGCGGGCCCCCCTTTCTCATCTCTAGATAGCAGCTGTGTTGCTGCCGCCGTTTCTTGGGGTCAGCCCCGACCGACCCTAAAAACAGCAAGTCATGCACACGCAAAGCCGATATCGCTCGTACGTGCAACCGCGGACATGTCCAACCAGAGCCGCCATCGTCTAGCCCCCCCCACCCCGCCCCCCAGACTTCCCGCACCACTTCCGCCGGAAACCAGGGCGTAACGCCTTATTGGTCAAATAAAATCACCCAGTGCCGTGTCAAGCAACCATTTTACGGTAAATCACCTCGCTACAGAGGATGCCTTGCCACTTTTTGCCCCACGCGTGTTGGTGAGATGGATACGTAGGGAAAACACCGTACACCCTCACCTAGTTATCCTGACGCACGTCAGATATCCACACACAGTCGTGGCTCAGATATAAGGGGGTGTTGTGACAAAAGGCCTCGACCTTCATATATCGGAGCCCCCTCTTATACCGGAATAAGAGAGTACTCAACTACCTTATAGAGGGTCGAGCCCTCGACAACTTTCGACCGTCTTCCATCGGAGCCCCCTCTTGTAAGGTACTCTCCTTCTATAGCGGAGCCACGACAGTACTAAGACGGACCGCCATTCTGTAGGCAGCCCTCCCAACCTTCAGCTGCCACAATGGTTGAGTTGATCCCTACTCTCAACGCGAAACACGGGCGGCATCATATGCCCACAAACTCTAGTAAGAGCCAACGTTATGACTACTCATGGTGCAAACTCAATCCATGCATCAGCCCGCCCGTCCTGGTTCACATATCTCGTGATTCAGTTCATGAGAGTAGGAACTGGGAAGGAGCTTTTCAGGGGAGTCTATGGGCCTCAATCAGCCTGCCCGTGGCAAAGGGCTAAGACGAGGCAACACACTGAAGGGTGTGAAGGACACATCAAAGAAGACAACAACCACATCATCCACAGAAAACAACCAAACAAGGCTACTAGCGGTGGCCATGTGCACACCCCGAGGAGGAACAAAAAACAGGGACAAGAACGAACCTGCTTCTTCTACGACATCATGATCCATCGCTGATATCAGCATCAGCATCAGCAGCAGCAGCGGAAATAGAAAACAAAGCGGACTCTAGAGGTACTTGACGGGTTAGTTGTCCTTGGGAAGGTCGTTGGGCAATACGTCCCCCTCCTTCGCGTTCTTGATCCGCTCCTCCTCCTCCGCATCATTCTTGGCATCCTGTTCTGCCCTCTCGGCCGCCTTGATGGCATCCTGCGCCTTGGCCTCCAGGCGCTCGGCGAGGCGCTTCTTCTCCCGGATTTCGATCTCCTTGAACAGCTGACAGATGCGATACAGACGAGAGGGATTCAGCGAGCGGGTTAGACGTGACAGCAATCCCGTTGCGGTCAAAAAGAACCCGGAAATCAGACTGAAATACAAAGTTAACCCTGATACTCGGCGACGTCACTCTGATTTTCATACAGCCTCTCGTTCCTTACGAGTAGGCCGGTACTCATGTACACCCTGTCGAAGTCTTTGGGTGAGGACAAACCATCCGGCAAAACTCAACACAGAGCTTTGTCGTTACTCCAAACGCAAGCAGGCTGGCCGCAAACCAGGAGCACAAATCGTGCCAAAAAGAACAGGCCGACGAAGCTGACGCACAAAAAACGCGGTTAACAATTAGCCACGCAAACAACCACGACATAACTATTCACGAACAAGACTGAAGCAGAAAAGTATCACAACATGGCATCCTCGTCGGATCCCGACCCCACTATGTGTGGTGTTTGTCGGGTCGGTCGACGTGAACGCACCAGCTCTGCCTGCTCGATCTTCCCGATTTGCTCTTGGTAGAGGTTCAAGTCCTTTGCTGCGCCCGCGGCTGATGTCCCCACTACGGCGAACCACTTTTCCAGGAGCTGACAGAAAAGAAGGGGGAAAAAGCGGCGATTGCCGTCATCAACAGGAAAGAAGACACGACCGAAAGTGCCCGAAACAAAAATTGTTGGCCTGGTGAAGTATCCAGGCATAGGATACTCAGCGGGGCGGTTTGTTCACATCGCAGCTGTGGCTTCAAACGACCATGGCGACTGTACATCTTTGCACGATGTATACAAGGATTCCCACTACCCTACACCACACGCACACACGATCATCGCGGACCGACGCCGTAGCACGAAAATACAGTAATGGCGATTACAAATCTCGGACAACATCCGAAAGCATTGGGTTCTGCGCGCAGGTCGAAAAATAACAAGGCTTCAACAACGGCGACGCTAACGAGTGCTGAGTCGCGAACCCCTTGTCTGATACGAAACGAGTGTCAAGGGAGGTACCGGCAGCCCGAATCTCTTCGCTCGCTAGAAGACGAAGACCAGCGCGGTGTTTGTAACGACGCACGCACAGCCATCCCTGAAGATACCTCAACCCAGGTATGCACTACCTGTGCTGCACACTGTGGACGCCGAGTTCCCTTCATCAACACGCCTACTCCGACCGCCACTTTCAACAATATCACGGGATAATCGCGGTGAAGGGCTTAGCACGACACGACTAGCGTCAAAGCCATCTACCGTCCCTAGGGTACCAGGAAGCAGCTGTAAGGCAGAGGTGAGACACTCATGATAGACAGACACAGCTCTTACGTCGCAAGACCAACTTGAGACACGCCTGCCATGACCCTGCCAGAGAGAGACACACCCACCTCCTCCGTCGGCTCAAGGCCGATGTTCTCCATGAGGGTGAACACACCCACTCCCCACAAGCGGTTGTACAGGAACCAGTCCACGTCCTCGCCCTTCTCCTCCCAACCCTCTCCGAACGGACCCAGGCCCGTCCGCGCCACGTAGAATCCGTCAGTGACGATGTTGCTGTAATAAAATAGGTCAAGCGAACATGCCGCACAAGATCCCGATTTAGTTCGGATATATAGAGAGAGATGGAGAAAGAGGGGGAGAGAGAGAGGTCATCAAAGAGCGTAATCGACCAACATGTTCGCTAGACATGATGCTGGGGTTGGCCAAGCCGACATGTCACATGACGTGCAGATTCAGACGGAGAGAACGAGAGAGAGACAAAAAAGGCGAATCTTGTACAAAACAAGAGCCATGTTTTGTACGATACCGGTACATAGACTTGGGAAGCTTTAAACGGTGATCGGAGGACACGCGTGGGAACACCATTGCCATAGAGGGAAGGGCCACTCCTTCGTGAAGCTGGTCTCATGGCGCATCTTTCTTGTCCATCGTTTCGTGACAACGTTATCAAGCCACCCAAGACGCAAACAATATAACAGCACACCTACTAGCTTGCTTGATGAGGCTCGAGATTATTACCGCGTCGCCGGTTCCAGTTTTTCGGCGACAACTTTCAGCAAAGAGAGACGCTCGAACAATCAACCCGCCCACCTCCTGTCGTCCGACTTGATCATCTCCATCACGTCTTCCTCAGTCTTCCCCTCGGCCCACTCCTTGAGGGCGGTCGTGTCCTTCCTCATCTGATCAGGGTCGAGCCCGTTCCCGATCGCCTTCACGACAGCATCGAAGATCAGCTCTGCCTGCCCCGGTACGGGGTAGGCGCGCATGAACCTGCGGGCCGCGAATCGAGAAACAACCGATGGCACGTGAGGTCGCAGAAGCCCGAGCTCAAACGGATGACAGCAGTGGACATCAGTCGGAAACACACAGCAGTAGCAGGGGGCCGTGGCGCGCATGGACCTGGGAGGCCCGATCGGATACGGAAAGTAAACAGATGACAGCGGTAGTTATCAACAATTAACTATCAGTGTTACACTATAGTAGCCGGGGACCTAACTATCAGTGTTACACTATAGTAGCCGGGGACCGTCACACAAGGTCCAGAAGCTCGGAAGAGAAGCGTGGAAACGGACAACTCGGTGCGACGTGGTATGTCGCAACAAAATAATGCGACCAAGAGAAAAAATGATAAAGGAGGCTGGTTGATCGGTGCCGTGACTGCAACATGCATAGATAACCGCAAACGCACACACCACAAACCACAGAAACCCTCATGGTATTTCGGCATGTTACTGTTACAAGCCAAATAAGCACACACGACGCACCATGGTAGTACCAATAATGGTATTTTGGGTGCCACCATGTCCCAGTCTATCAGTTCATCAACCTCACGCGGACAGGCCTCAGCTTTCTCATTAAAAACGAAAAGTTCGCGAAAAAAAAAACGTGGGCACTTTTGTGTCCCGTGAGATCATGCCATTCTTCAAATGCTCCCTTCGAGTTATTCGTGATTCGGGTGTTGAAAAATGAGCACTCATCCCCCTGAAGCATGCGGGGGAACCGAAAAAAAATGTCAAAAAGATTTAAGGTGGTTCTGGCTGGCGTCCTCGAAATTTCGTCATGAATGAACACTTCTATTCGCTTCCATCCCCATCAAGGTCCAACTCGCGTAAGTGATCTATCTTCCAAGTTGTCAACGTTTGCTGTCAGAAAATGGAGGGTCGGTTGGTCAGTCAGCCAGTTACCTCATGAAGCTCGTGTAGAAACCGACGCCGAACAACGGGTCGTACTTGAACCGTGCATCGTACACGGTCAAGTGAGTGCTCTGGAGGTACTCGGTCACGATCGTGCGGAACTGCGTGAGGACGACCTTCTTGTACTGTTGAAAAAAAAAGAAAGAATAGAAACAATAGCGGCAGCATCAAGGGATGCATACGACGACGACGATTACAACAAATAAAAGAGACCGAACGATCTCCTTCTACCCTCCATCGCCGAAACTAACGTACAAAGCAAGGACAGCACAAGTAGCTTCAATAAGGCGTTGCTGTACAAGCGATACCTGCAGGTGGCAACCCCGCGCACTAGCATTATAACGAACGGAAACGTGAGACTTTCCGCTAACTGCAATCTTTGCAAACATCGTATGGTGCTGCTGCTGCACAGCACAGGCCACACATCACAAAACAGCAGCGAAATTGCTAATGTCAACTGCCGGGCGCTCGTTTCGGGGTGCACTGCCATGCGTATTCCGCCACAGCCTCCTCCTTCCAAGGCGACACCGCAAGCAACACAACTCGTGCAGTATCTCCAACGCGGCGTCACCGTAACGCTACGTGTACAGCAGCTTCTTCGAGGAGCAGCAAACTCAACACTCGATCACTCACGTATTTGTAAAAGTCAGCGACGGTCTCCGAAACGGTCTTGACCTTAGCTCCGCGGAGGTGTCCGAACTTCCTCGTCATGGGCGTGTCCGGGATGAACTGCTCGTAAACGTAATCTTCCGGGGTCTCTACTGGGGCAGGCTTTCCCAGGTTGAGGCCCATCACCTCCTACGGGGTCACCGTGGGGGAGGTGGAATCGAGTGATGATACTGTTGGTGGGGTACAAACAATATGAGATGGACGTTCCAAAACTAGCGCCGGTGGACGACACGACCCGGATCTAAAGCCCGCGTGGAGAAGTCAAGATCCTGAACACATGATGAAGCTTTTACACATCAATAAGATTGTTATCTGTTCGCCTCAAGAACAGACGGGTGGGTCCAAACGTATCGGGTTGGCACCAACTGCTTTTCGTAGAATATTGATCACACTTGCTTCTGTAGCGAGCATCTGTACACGCCGTTTTGCTGCTGCTGCTGATGTTATACACGGCGGGGAAAGAAAGGGTATTTTTGCAGTACTGACGGAAGTACTGTCCCCGCCTTCCAAGCTTCTCCAGCAGCAGTAGCTGTTCCCGCCGCACGCGGGACACCTCGCCACACGAATCCACACAACCCGTTAGCAGAATTGTCACGGGTCGGCATGGGCCCAAAATACTTTCAGATCAAGAATTGGGCGGCAAAAGACACCACAACACGACACAATACAAAAAACGCTTCGTGTTTTCAGAAGCCAATAGGTCAATGTTACCACCGGGGGTGTTATCTTAATTTATGCTGGTACGCGGCTCCAAGCGTACAGCCATGCATGGGGACTGTTGTGTCGTTCTCGGCTAGCGATGTGTGGGGACGTGGGTCCTCAAGAGTCAGGCACGAGGACGTGGCCTACGGACCTAAACCAATCTCACACAAATCTTCAGCAAATGGCACGTACATGCACACCAGCTGGGCTGCGGACGTGGTGTTCGTCGCAAAATCGGCAAACAAAATGTGGGGCACGGACGCCATATCGGCTAGACCAAATCCCAGACCTAGCTAGTGCATTGCTGACTACGGTAAGCATGCTTGCTGATTCGAAGTTGTTTGTCTTGCTCAAATTGATCTTTACCTCCAATTGCGCATTCTCGACCACCGCAACGCCTGTGCTCATCGAGTGTACGTGTACTGGCACCAAAATAAAATATTTACAACATAAAATTGTGGAGTCCGCCGCCCGGGTGGGACAATGGTACGCTGGTGGGTGCCACGGCTGCTGCTTTGCGAACCGTCATTATTGCTATTGGCGTGTACCACTAATCACAGCATCAGATAGCTTGCACAGGAACGCAAAACCTGGCCTTGCTACACCTGTGGCCCTTGCAACAAAAAGATGCCGATACCGCCTATCCAAACAACCGGCGTAGCCAAACCATGAAGGCAGCGGTTATTTCTTCTTGAAGTATTTCAAAGCAGAATGACACGTACTTGGAAGCTTCGTATTATAGAGCTTCCACTGCGGTGTGTTTTCAATCGTGATCGCCGTCAACGTTGTCTGGCTCGCCAGGGGTGTTCACGTGGTCAGCAAGGCGTCTGACTCTCGAAGCTGCTACGGGCTCAACACGACAACAACAGCAGCAAAGCATGCCCCATCGAACACGGAAAACAGCAGTACCGCAAGTCGAAGCGGGCGTGAATTTCACCGCTGCTGCTGCTGTTGCTGCTGCTGCCGTACGTATCTGGTCGATTTTCTTGCAAACTGTAGACGTACGTAACCCCATGTACCAGACGGATGGGTGGGTAAACAGCCACTTTTTTCTCCTCTTTTACAGCAGCGGGTAACAGACAGCAGCTCCACCCACAACTCACCAACCTTGTACGTGTTCATCAAGAGACTTCCTGTGGGTTAAGACGTAGTCTCGCTTCTCCGCGTGTTCGATGGGTCACGCGACCATCAGCCGGTGGCAGAAGCTCAGCAGTGGCGATATGATCGCCCCGCCAGATTATTTAGGTGGAACCGACACAAACGTCAGCTGGTCATGAGTCACACCGTGCTCTCTAAATAGTTTCCTACTTTCTCTCTCAGACGAAACGCATGCGAGGCGCCCTCACCGGGCCGGGCTTCGGTTGTGTCGCCGCCATGCACACCGGGACCCCTCGCCTTGATCCGGCATCCGCGGCCGCGTTAGTCCAGCTGCACGCGCCACGACGCAAGCAAGAGGAGTCAGGGCACAGCGGACGTCATGAGGTACATACCTTTCGGGCAGGATCGCGACAGAGACCAGCAGCTAGCCGTGTCTCTCTAAACTTTACTTTCAGGCAAACACAACCAAACACAACCAACTGCTTCGCGCCGCTGAGCTGCGACTCTGCAACAGCCGTTTGCGGGTGCTGTTGCTCCTCGAGGGCGTCATGTTTACGTGAACAGCGCGGAACTTTTCCAGGGCATCAGCTGCGAGCCGGAATCGAGCGAGTGTGTGAATTGCTTGTTTCCGCCTGCGCTGAAGTCTCGTCTCACCCGCTTGACCGGCTCGTCCATGCGCTGCTCGGGACCACGTTGGTGGAAGGTACGAAAGCCAGCGATCCTGCCAGGCCAGACAGGCACAAGAAAGAGGTCTGCTTCATAGTCCAGGCAACGTAGAGCTGTAGGGCACCGGTGTGTATTATGTGTGTTGCTGAAGCAGCAGGGATTGCTGGATCAACGAGGGGGCACAGCGCACAGGCACACGCTGACGTTCAAAGAACCACCTAGTTGCCTCTCTGACCAGGCCGAGCGGGGATCTTCATCTCAGTATGAAAACGCCTTCACGTCACACGACAACTCCCTCAATGATTCACGAAACCCCTAAACCAAATCACTGTGCAGTCATAACAGATAATCTCGCTGGTTGCTGGTCATGATCACCACGGTAAGACGAGATTGGCATGCTGCGGTAAACGCGTTCGTACTTTTGGTCTTGCTGGGAACGTTCGGAGAAGCGTTCGTCGTTCAGTCTGTGGCACCATCGTCATCATCGTCATCGCGATCGGCTTCGGAGAGACACCGCAGCAGCAGCAGATACCATGACCCAACAGGAGGAAGCAGTCCAAACCGAGGCAGTACGAGCAGCACCGGTAGGAGCAGCAGCGTCTCCTTACTTCGAGCTACTGAGGCAGACGCAGGGGATCATGCGCTGCCGAGCTTGACGAAGCACCACGCACCTCCCGCGGTAAGCACAAGGGCCGTGTCGCCAGTGCCTCTCTTGACCAATCTCTATGTAGACAATGGGTAGTGCGCACTCGGCGGCCGCCGGAATATGTTCCCGTCGTTTGATATTGTCCAATTGGATGGGGAAGAGAGGGGAAGAAGGAGGGGCTGGGTGGGAAAACATACGCATAAGGTTCATGTTGATGCTGGCCGACGGTGGATCTTGCTGTTGTGGATCGTCATGTAGTCTCTTCACCTGCCTTTCACACGACCCGCCCTGCTTGCTGCACGAGATAACTTCGATTGTTACACTTGTAGCTGTTGCACAGAGAGCGCTGGCAGTCCGTTATATTGGGGAGTTCGACTAATAGTTGCTTCTTGTGAAAGGACTTCCACATCCTGCTGCTGCAGCAGGTAGACGAGGTGACCTTCTAGTACGCCACGCCACGCGAACACTTGCTCCCTCCGTAGGTTGCTGAACTGTAGGCGCCACCAACAGCTCCAGCCTGGTTTGCTTTGCCCTCGGTTCTCATGGCAACGCTGTTCAACGCATGCACATGGCACCTCCCTCCTTTTCGCCTGTGGCCGCCGCCGATTGCAAAACATACAAAACAGCTCAGCGTGCCGGTATTCAGCCTTGCAACCGTGAACGAGGACGGGTCGACGAACATGAACATCGTCACCTACGCTTCGCCGGTGGGTATCGAGCCGGAACGACTGTGGATGGTATCCTTGTTCAAGGTGTGGACGGTATATGTGTCAAGTTCGTGTGGCGCACAACCTGGTTGCTTGCTGCCGGTGTTCTTTTGCAAACGAACGTGGTGCGCGAGACGTCGGAAGATGGCCCTTTTTTAGCACCACCTGATGCACCATCTTGGATTCGCTAGTTTGGCGGTTGGCCTTGATTTTGGCATGCTTACGGTTTGTTTTCTTGCCATCTCTAGAGATGTTCGCATGCTTCGATTCGACGGTTTGGACGTGGGTCCCGACTCACCGAAATTGCATCAACTGCTCCCGTGAGGCGAACGTCGATCCCTCCATTGCTCTTCGATACTTCGCGTGACAACATGCCTCGGTGGTAAAATAGGGCTGTTCTAGTCACGTCGAAATCAAGGCTCTTATCTCCAACAGAGACTTATTCCCGCTGCGGTGCAACGTGCAGCGGGAAGTTCTCGCCGTGAGACTCTAGTCGTGGTTCGATCATCATTCCTGTCGTCGTTGAAACGCTGCTGCTCGCATTCTTGTCGGCAAAAACTGTTTTCTCTATGCCGACGGCTGTCTCAAGAGCACTCTGAGCTACGAAAACTTCATTCGCGAAGGCTGGGGTGTGCTGCAGCTCTTGCAACGAAATCACGCCCCGCTCGTGCCGATATTAGGTAAGGACCTTGAAAGAATTTGATCACATGAGAACCCCAAGGGTCGACCGTTTTTACCCAAGCCCAAGACCACTTCCCCACTTCAGGGCCCGGTTATTTTTCTCACTTTGGTGAGCTCTTGAGGAGAGGTGGCGCGCGAACATTTTGAGAGTCTACCGGCTTAATGACAGACGCGTGATGGCCCGCAGTGGCCAGATAGAGAGGGGCCGGGTTTCAAGGCGGGCGTCCGCAGTATAAAGTTCTTCACCATGCTGCTACCAGGTTCCGATCATTTATCCAATCAGACTCGTTCCGAAAACCCTCTTCCGTACACCTTGTTTTCTTTGTTTCTTTGGTGGTATGAGTATTCCAGGGCAGAGCAGCGGGAGGGACACGGACAAGGCGGGAAGATGCGCGGAACAGGCGTTCCCTTGGGACGAGTCATCATGCATAAACGTTGCCATTATCCCTGGCTGTGGTTCCTACGTCACGCTGCACATGGTCAGCAAACAGGTGGGGCAATAGTAGCCTTCGCGCCATGGCTTTCACAGCTTGACGAACAAAAAGTGAAATAGCAGCCGTACCACCTGCAGCCACATTCACGGCTTTCCTGTCTCAAAGCGTACCTCACACGCGGGCAAGTGTACGTCAGATGCACACAACGATCACTCACGATGCCCGGGTTCAATGGAAGTGAGGTATGCTGTACGTCAAGAGACTCGCCCTGGGCAGGGATACCGGAGAAAGGCAGGCCTGGCGGGTAAACCGTGGTATTTTGCTGGATACTGTCGAGCTCGACCACATGAATCCATACCGTTTCTCTCACAGCGGTCCTATCGATCTCCAAACTATTCGTATAATTACTTCCGCACTGCTGTAGCCTAGGGCCTATGACGTGGATTTCAGATCGTCCCATTTTCGATCGGGTTCACCAACTACTACAGGAAGCACTGAACCGGATCGAAACGCTTCGATAGTTTCCGTAAACCTAGAGTTATACCTGGGCCCACCCACCCCCACCCTCACTATTGGCTTCAGTAGTGAACGAACGAACGCACAACTTTCCGGAAGAAGCGACTTGGTACCGCAGTATCGACGTGTTCGCCATCCTTTCCTCTGGCGTACAGGCGGCTTCCTATAAACGAGAGCGACCTCGTCCTCTGAAACCAGCGATGAAATGTGCGACTCTGGCCTATCTTGAGCCATCGTCCTCTTTGCTCTAAGTTGGCGAACGGGCGGTCTTCGACAAGACAACAGTTTCTCTTCGCCGCCACCATCGAGCATAGTGTAGGGCCTACCGCTGAGCGAGCGGGGTGTTTCTTTCCCAAAGTTATTTTTTGGAACATCTGGACCTCTCTCTAACAGAGTTAGTCGTTCGTCGTCGCGGATCGCAACGAACTGCTGTGCTTCCTACAGTTCCGCAGTTCAGAAAGAGGAGAAGCGGAAACCATACTCTCGCTCCCGCAACGCGGCGTTTTTGTTTGATCTCACACCCAGTCTGCAGGAGATCATGACGCCATAATCTGCCGAATGGGGAACATTTTCGGACCTGATGAAGACGCAAGTTCGCGACTAGAGGTTCTGGAATCGGGACATCTCCGCGAAGCTGGAATAATTTGATTGGTCGATTCAAATGGCGGCATGGGTGGCGTGTCTACTGCTCAAACATGTTTGCTAATAAGTATAAGATACCCAGCGGTGTGTGCGGAATATGTCTGTGGTCAATGGCACCGGGGTTTCGCGAGTTTGGGAGCTCGAGAGGCGGGTTGCCACTCGAACACTTGAAGATGTAAGGCTATGGTCTACTCTGGTCAAGATGTGTCTTTTCATCAAAATGATGATTCATTGTTTGTGACTACAGAGACAAGCGTTTCCTATCGTCGAAAGCAGTGTTTCACTAGCTTTCCAACGCCACCGCCAGCCCCATGTACTTGTGAAGGTCATCTCGAGACGAAAGCCTAGTTAGAACTCCGAACCATGCACGTGACTTAGACCCGTCCACAGCGTCCTTGACGCTAGCAAGCTTAGCAAAAGGTGCAACCAGGAATTCTGCACTCTTCACACAATGGTACCCTGTGCACGGATGACTGTCGAATAGTACGCAAAGCTCCGAGTCGTCGGGAGTGGTTACTTTGCGTTTCTCTTCATATTGTGACCACCCCGCAACTTGGGTTTCTGTACGCGGGGTTGCTTCTTCGCGAAGAATCGGCGAGCTTGAAATTACATCGACGGCGGTCCTTCGCACGAGGACGCCGGCAACGAGTTAACGTTGCTACGCAAAAGACCATACAGCAGTAGTAGTAGTGGAGATAGGTGGTGAGGATATTGTAGGGACGGTAGTTTTGTCGAAGCACGAAGTGTCGCGGCCGAGCTCGACAGCATGTCTACATCATGCTTTATTTCGTGGCAGGGAGTTCTCACCCAGCGCCATAACGCAACGTATCTCTCTTGATTGCCTCATCAGACAAAGCGACAGCCACGGCCCGGCCGGCGATATCCTCTGCGAAGAGTCCCCGGCACGACTTTACCGGCAGCCAAAGCCAAGTCCCACATGCTTGCGACGGTCCATCCACCAGCCACGCATGACTCGTTGAGCCGCCACAGAGCCGATCAAGGTATCACGTTCTGTAGGCAGGAGCGTATTTCGGCGTCGATACTGCACTATACTCAGCCATGCTACCCTGTGATTGAGCAACAATCAATACGTGATATCATCCTCCTGTAGAATTCGATCTCTTCTTGGAAAGCCAAAACTTGCAGTAGAAACACCTCCCTTTTTTACTGGCCAGTGCGTCATCATGGCAAACAAGGAAACTTACCACTAAATTGATAGCGTCATGCTATGCTTTAACGACAGCAAACAAGGTAACACGAAACCAAAGGTGAAAAAAATGTACACTTTTTCTCTCTCACCGAAAACATAGTCTTCTCCCCTGCAACTAAACATAAGGCGCACAATATTCACCCTCAATGTGTTCTTCAAGTATGACAACGAATAACGTGTAATATTCTTCTATTTTCGCAGTTCCCCGTTGTATAGTAAACTGGGTGCACTTTGGTTCAAAGCTAGGGGCCCAGGTCGCGCGCACAACACCGCCCGGTGCTTCTCACGCAATACCCGCCAAATTTGCTGAGCTCGATGTGAATCAGCAAAGCTTTGCCTACGTTCCGTAATAGAGTACTACAGTGTCGGTGCCCTCCCTATTACAACGCTTTGACGCGACATGGCTACGTCTTGGCGCCAAGCCTGGTATACCGCACCCCTGCAATTTAGTCCATAATAACTCAGGCAATTTTCATCACCACTAGTCTACGATTTTAATAAACACGCGAGGCAAATATCGTCGCAGGTCGTGTGGACAAGTGCAAATGAGCAGCCGAGGACAGATCGCACGTGCACGATAACAGCACGAAAACGGCTGTTGTATGCTGTGGCTGGCGTATGTGACGGAGGCTTGGGTAGAGAAAGACAGAGTAATTTATTATCCACACACAGGCGCCCAAGCTGTCTTCACCTGGCGGTTACAGACTTGGAAACACGCCTTCACAATACCCACACAGCAGAATAGAGTCGTTCATGCAGAATACAAATACCCCAACATGACCCATCCAGGGAAGCTCGCGTCATCACCATCAAAAGGCACAAACCCACGTTGCATGGGATTCGTGATGGGAGCTGCGGACGCCATGTGACTCGTGTCAGTTCCCCTACCGCGCGAGGCTCAAGACCGAACAGCACGACAACGGCTGTTGTATGCTGTGACTGGCGTATGTGACGGAGGCTTGGGTAGAGAAACACAGAGTGATTTATTTCCACACACAGGCGCCCAAGCTGTCGTCACCTGGCGGTTACAGACTTGGAAACACGCCTTCACAATGCCGGGGATAAAACCCTCACAGCAGAATAGAGTCGTTCATGCACAACACAAATCCCCCCAACACACGAAATACGCCCGGAGTACTTGTTCATGTTCTTCTCCGCCCAACCTTGACGAAAGCACAGCTAGCTGCTGTCGTCACATACGATTGTTTGACCGAAAGGCGACGATGGCGTCGCACCCGTAGGTAGGCTGAATATTCCCGGCCCACCGCCACGGATACCCCCGACCCCGCCGCAAGCTTCATGGTGAGCGCCGATTTTTGACTTTGAGGCCATTTTTCTTTCATAGCGGCTCCGCGGCGATATGGTTGTCACCGCTAAACGTCCTTGAAGGGGAGGAGGTAGTCGAGCTGCGACCGGACGGCGGGCGTGAGCAACTTCTCACACAACAGCGAGAAAAAATACAACTTCTCACACAACAACGAGAAAAAATACAACTTCTCACACAACAACGAGAAAAAATACAACTTCTCACACAACAACGAGAAAAAATACAACTTCTCACACAACAACGAGAAAAAATAGAAGATCTGCGAGCCTCAACACTCGTCACATTCCTTCCCGACCAGAACCAAGATTTTGCCACTTCGTGGTCGCCACGTTCCCACGTTCCCAACACCTAATCTCTCTCATTGCTCTGGCAACGCCGCCGTTCTTGTCATGCCGTGCTCGATTCCCTCAGTGCCCCTACAGTTCACAGACAGAGGCATCTTCTTCATGATTCACGGTCTGCCATTCGTTGCCGCCGCGTCATCCTTCGTCTTCCTCGTCCGTATCACGTCTTTCGTAGCCCTTCGGGTTTCTCCGTCGCGGCTTGCTCTGCATGGCGCTCGATCGGGCCACCTGCTGTTCCCAACCGCCCTTACCGCCGGTCGCGCGGCCCCGTGCCCCAGCGCCCCGCCGGCCCTCGTTGTCCCCACCGTCGTCGCTGCCGTCGTCGTCGTAGCCCTTGCGAGACGCTTTGGGGGATGCCCCCCGGCCACGGGCGGGCTCCCTGCGGGAACTCGGGGATGCGGGCGGCGACTTGTGCGTCCTCGTGCCGCCGGAGAGACTGGAGCGGCCCGACACCGGCGTCCGCCACCGCTTCCCCTCGCCGTCGACGCGCCCGTTGTTGTCGAGGTCGGACCGAGGCGCCGAGCGGGAATGATCTTGATCTTCGTCGCTGTCCTTTTCATCTCTCCGACTGCCTCCGTCGCGCTTCTTTCGTGCGCGCGGGCTGGAAGCTACTGAGCGCTTCCTACCGCCAGCGCCGCCGGCGTCACCGCTGTCACCCTCTTCGCGGCCGCTCGTGTCATCGTCGGGTCTGCCGGATGATTTCGGCGGACGGCTTGACCCGACGGAGCTCCGCTTCGGAGACCGTCGATTCGGAGGTTTTTCGGGCTGCCCTGCCAGCAACCGCGAGTCTGCGCTGTCCTCCTCCTGTTCTTGTCGCTGTTCCTGGAAGGGTGACGAGGACCCCCCCTTGTAGGGCTGGGCAGGAGATGCCATGGGCGTTGAGTCGTCGATGTGCACTGTTCCGTCTGCTTTCGCGGGAACGTGAAAACGCGGCGGAATCAGCAGATGCCTGTAGCTTGTCAGTAGCGGTACCTTTCAGGGCGTGTGCATTTTCGGATGGAGGGCCTGGAGGGGTCGGATCGAACTCTGTCACAAGCAGCGTCATGATGGTTATCCGATAAGTGTGATACATCCGGGACCGGTGCCCAGCATGATCTTTCGGTGTGAAAGGGCCGCACGGCGAAGATCAACCCTAATGAATTTGATAACGTGGTTTTGGTAAATTTGCCCCGACCTTTCTGCTTCCAGAAAATAAAGCGTGGGGGCTACTACTTTCTTACAGGAGCCAATGACGTCTAGAGTGGGTTATTAGTGGGTATATCATGATAACCTCAAAACCACCGATACCAACGCTAAACCATTTTTTTCGTGTGTGGTCACCAAGTCTGCGTTTTCATCGGGGGCGAGCGACACACGCACACATGCGAGGGACTGCGCCAAAAATATCTGAATGTTCCTCACCCTTGGAGCGCTTGTTGCCGAAAGGGGCGCGAGTCCCGCTGGCGTAGAGTTTTTTGCGACTGGTCACGGTCTCTCGCATGATGTTCGCGATTGACTTGTGCAGGAGCGTCATACCCGCGATGAGCAGGGCTAGCGCCGTAACGGCGGCGGCGGCGATCGCTATGATTGTCGAGTCCTCGTTCAGCTTCGATTTGATCATGTTCCCCATTGCGACCAATTTATGATGGTCGCGCCCGACCAGGGAAACGAAAGAAGGGCAGGTCAGAGAGGGGGTTTCATTTTCATTTTTTTAGGGGGAACTGCTGGAAGCGCCCAACCGACAAGCGTAGTGGGGGGGGGGGTCAGGCGCGGTGCGCACGTGTCGGTGAACTAGACCGTAGTAACTGGAGGAAACTGCTTACGGGCATCCCTGTACACGCAAGACCATCCAACATGTATAATCCTGTCACCAAGTGCAACGATCATCGCCCCGCTTACAAAGTCTGACAAACACATCTTCCACACAGACCGTACTCTTCGAGCCAACGTCCTGGCCGGACGAGCCGAGCTCTCTGAAACCGCTACGTCATGCACGTGTATGTCTACAGGACACTGACTCAACAAGAACGCGCGGTCCCGACAGTGCATGGCACGCTGAACAACGCAACGGACTTCTAGACGTCTCGAAACGACGCAAGAAGTGGCTACGCGTGTCGGAACCTTCGTTGCACCTGGATCTCACCAGAGTTGTTGGCGTTACGTAACGCTTGTGTCAGGCTATAATAATATTCCCCGAGAACATGGACGTTGAACGTACATGTGGTGTCCGCCAAACTGTACATCCGCTGCTCAAACGAGCCAACAAGCGCTTCAAAGCTAGAGTGCAACCTACAAGAAAATCAGCAGCATTCGTTTGTCCTCTTAAAGAGCAGCACTGCCGTACTTTGTTGTGCATCCTGTGTACCTGCGATGTGCAGTCCGGGTCGGCAACACAATCTTGGTAGTCCGTGGAAGTGAAAGACACATTGGTGCCGGAGTAGACGGAGGTGATATTTCGGGAGTCGACCATCGCGACGTTGAACAGGTACGACGAGTCGTCATCAACGGCCACCTGTCGAATAAAACCCCCATGGATCCATGGACGCACGATTCGAAGTAAGAGTCTGTGGGTCAGCTGAAACTACTTGATATTTGGAGTGTAGGCCCGTGGTTCCCGCTCGGTATGGTGACAACGTGTGCTGCTTTCCCACTTGCCAGGCCATACGTTCCGACAAGCATCCGGGTTCTTGTTTCGCAACGAAGCCGAGGAACAACGGCTGTAGAGAGAAGCTTTTTTTTTTATTTCTGACAATGGTGCAAGAACCGAAATTGATGATGAATACACAGCATAAAGTATCTCTAATTTTTTCGAGGGAAAACAAACGCCGGGGGGTTCATTAACCGCAACCGACTTGGTTCACGCATTCCTCGAGCTGAATTGCGTCGTGCCGTTTCGTTCTGGGGTGACAGGTGCATCCCGCGTCAATAGCTAAACAGTTCGCACGTCACCGAAAGTGTGGCTGCCGACTGCTGCCGTGCCTCGTTGCGTATGTACCAGTAGCCGTCACAACAACGAACGGTACTTCAGGCTTGGGATGATGCGAACACGAACCACAGTGTCTTGTTACAACGCACCTCGAACACATGGCCAGTGTTCGCCGCGAGCGTCACCCAGTCTGTGTGGCCGTCGGCAGCGTTCCCTATCCCGCACGCCGACCAAAACAAGCAGTTGGGGTTCTCGCGAAGAGAGGTGTTGTCGGAAGCCAGGGTGCAAGCTCCCTCGTCTGTTTCGGGCAGGCGGCTCCAGTACAGGCTGTACATGACATCGTCCGCCCCCTTTCCAGGATTCAAGCGAGACGAAATAAGAACGATGGGCACAGCGAGGTGGATGATTGGGTTCCTTTGTAGAATACGTCATGTTCTAAGAGTCATCGTTGTCGTGTGGCCGTTTCGATGGCGTGTTCTTTGTGCAATCAACAATCAAACGGGCAAGGAAGGTCTCATGTCTTCAGGCAACTCCGGGGCGACAGAAAGAAATATCAACACCGATTCATACGACTGGTGCTGGTGCAAAAGCTCTACTACAGTACGGAATCTAGGTTGCTCATGTCTGTCTTCAGAACGAAAATTTAGCGATATTCACGGGTGTACCCGAAGGCGTCGACTGCGGCTCGCTACGCATCACGCGGATAAACACCCCAGCACAGCCTCCTGCATCTCCTAGCGCTTTGTTCTATCGGGTGCTCAAGATGTGTCGCACCAGCTGGTACCCGGCACCCATTCCATTCTTACCTCGTTTTCGGTCGTGTTAACGAGAACCCGCGCGATTCCAGATGTACGCATTTCCGCGGATAGTTGCCCTCCGTTCCCGGGAGTTGGACGATCGTACAGAGTTGTGTGGACAGCGATGTCGAAAGCGGTGTCCACGTCGCCGGCCGTCACAAAGCACATTTGTTCCGTGAACTTCGCCGGAATGGTGACGATGGCGGGGTTGTAATCGTCCGAGGAGTTGAAATACGGCAAGTTCTGCCAAGAAGAAGGGCTCCCAGACTTGATGTCGATGCTTGCGCTCCCGTTGCAAGGCGTCATCTACATGAATCAATTGTGTTCGGCAGAGGGGTGACAGTGGGACAGAACGGCGATAGAGGGTCGGGAAACAGAAACAGGAGTTCGAAGCTACAAACTTCTAGTTGTTTCACGCGGGGCGGGCCTGTCTATATTCCCCTACGGTCATTTAGTCTGCATTATACGTTCGTGTGCATCCTGCATCAATCTCACCCTTCGTTCTGGTATCATCGCCCGTCCAGCAACACTCCCGGACGCATAGTCAGACTACTCGTACTTCGTTTTCACCCCTCAACACTTTTTCCAAAACAAAGCGGATATCAGCTGGAACCGTACAGGTTTGGCGATAGTTTCGGCAACCATGTAATCCCCAACGTACTTCAACTGGAGAGCACAATCATTCGATCCCGCCTCAAGAGTATTCCCGAAAGTGTGAGAAGAATGAATGGCGTTCGTTCGTTCCCGAAAAAGTGAAAAACAAACGCAACGACGTGCATAATGAAGTACTGCACCATGTGTGTCACCATCGCGTTTCGTGCGTGTTCTGTTGGTCCCCTGTGGCGCATTGTAGATCAAGTTGGTCCAGTCTACATTAAGTCAGAGCTGTCGACTACGAGACCACAAACAAGATGGAGACAAATGCTGTAGACTACATACACATGCCATTGTTTGACTACTACAGTACTGTATGGGGGCGCAACCATCACCTCGAAGGTGAGGTTCCCTCTGACCGAACCCGACACCAGCCCGGAGTTGTCCATATCCAGCACCCAGTGGTACAGCCTTGTTTCACCCGCGCGCAAGACCTGACCCGAGAATTGCGTGTTGTCTACCAAGCACACGCAGTCGTCGGCGAAGTCCACCCCGCTCGTAGAATTCACACAACATGACGCGAGACCCAGCACCACGGTCGAAAACAAGCTCAAGGTGAGCACCACCGGTACGACTAGTCTTCGAGTGGCGTCCAGCATTCTTAGGCCCTGTCATGCAGCATGCGTGTGGCCTTACGAGCTGTGCAACAACGCTTCAGTAACCCAACTGCGGGTTAACAAACGTTGATGGTATTTTCAAATCGCAGACGAGTAGAGCGTGGTGGCATGTCGTACTCGAACGACGGAAAAAAAACGACAGTTACACTTCACTCACCTGAACCAATCATTTCGAGTAGCCCTCGTGGGCGACCGCCAAACAGTCGGCTAAACTTGGCATTTTGGCACGTACATGCTTGGTTGGACTCTATCTTTGCCAATCAGCAGGTCGAACGAGTTGAATAGTTTCAGGCCATGATGAGTCAGAGAGTCCCTGTAGACTTGTGAGAAGGTACAGCAGTGTATGTATGAAGTAGTTGAGACGGTACCCTCGCGACATGAAACTCCGTGCAACACCTTTACATGGTTTCTTCGCCCGATTTGAGGCCCTGTCACGTCTCCTGTACCAGCACTCTCTGCACGCTTGGAAGCGACCACAGCGTATGTAGCATGGCGGTGCTGAGGTCTGCTGTGTCTCGTGCATGCTTATCTACAGTCTAGATATGCAAAAAAGTACAGGAATCAGTGTTCCGCTCAGCAGCAGTAGCTGTAGACAGAGATGAGCGAGGTAACCACGTACACACCAGATGACGAGACTTGCGCATGCAGGATTGATCGTGAGCAAGAATGCACTGTGTTTTTGCCACGGCTAACCACCCATGGTGCGGTGCATCTAAACAGTAGGCAGAACTCGTTTTGTCGTCCTGCAAGCGAGCACTTGGCGACCATCTCTTGGGGTGGGTCACACTGGCGCGTGCGTGCGAGATCCCTGTAAAAAAGATCCAGTAATGCACTAGACGGGGAAACCACCGAACATGTCCGATACATGACTCTGTCGACCATCGCGAGGTCCCGCGCCAAGGCCAAAATATACTCTCGCCCTCGGCTCAAGCACATGCCGTCATCTGCGGGTGAGTGCCTGTTCACCGAGATAGACGTGGTGCGGAAAAGCGTGACACACGCTGTCGGCGGTGCCCGCATGACAAAAAGGTCCCATATAAGAGTTGAAGTTCATGTCCCCCGTTCATTAGCGTTCAATGCCAACGCCACCGCGGGAGCGGCGAGCAGAGCAAGCAGTAAAAAGACCCATGACCAACCAAGCCAAAACCCGCCAGGGGTCCTACTCCTGTGGCAGCAGCTCAAAACGAGCTTTACCCACGGGTCAAAGCTCAGATACGGTCTTCCCCCGGTTGCATTAAATCCGCAACAAAATCACAGACTCATGCCGCGTGGCATCGCAATGCATGCCATCGACTGCAACCATGTTTTTTAAGCCACGACCTTGGCGGAGGCCTTGCGAGAGCTGCGCCTCTTGGAGATCATGGAGCGGCGGGCCTCCTTCTGCTCCTTCTGGCGCTGGGCGTAAAGGCTGCGCAACGATCACGAAAGTTTGGGGGCATGATGGAGGGGCAAGGAACGAACTCATGAGGCGGTGAATCGGGTACGTGGTGTTCATAGTCTTTAGTCCCGTCCTTGTACCACGTACAATCATCTTCGCGACTCCTTGCGATGCGAACTTTACACGTGCAGGTTGGTCACACATCCATACGACTACCCCGTGAACAGACATAACTTGCCGGCCTTGGTTACGTCGGGTAAGGGGATGGACGCAAGGAAGATTGCGTTCTCGTTGAACTAGAAAAGGAACAGGACACACAAGGCAACGCAAGACACATTCTTGGACGAGGACTGGGTACTGCTGTACACTGTGGAAGGCAAGCGTGCGGGTGAACCCGCGGGGCACTACTGGAACCTCGCACGGGCGCGTGGTAAAAAACTGCTAAGAACGGGGGTTGGTATATGGGCGCAGAAACACCCGCACTCGTATAATAGTTTACAGAAAACACCGCACAAACGCTCATGGATATATTGAATTCAGTCGACCGGATCGGACATGACAAAACGAGGGGGGGAAGATGACGATTCGCATGTGCAGCCGAAAGCGCATCCCAGGGTACCAGGTACAGTGCGTTTGAACAACAAAGAACGGCATTAGTGCGGGACACTCCATGGGGCGACGACCTGTGCCGAGAAAACAGTCTTCCTCCGGCATGGTGTCAAAAAGCAATACAAGCCTGATTCATCAACTGCTGTCAGAACTGAAACCCAAATGTTTTTCCTGCTCTAGTTGATAAAGCAAAACCCGTTGCTGATTCAGTTTCGCAGAGACGTCATTGGACGGACTCAATCCCCTCCCGCCCCACGGCGACTACGACAAGGCTAAACCGCGGCAAGACCGCATGACGACGCACCTGGCGTACTCCGACGCATCGCGCTGGCTCTTGGCCTGGGCGATCTTCTTGGCCGCGGCGCGCGCGCGCTTGCGCTGGAGGCGGATGGGGGTGATGAGGCGCTGGATGTTGGGGCGCTTGGTGACGGTCTTGCCCTTCTTCTCGAACTTGCGGGCGATCACATACTTGCGCACATCGTCCTCCTGATCAAAAGCAGACAGCAATTGCATCGGGAAAACCAGCCGTTAGAAGGGGGTGTCGTCCAAGCAACGGATATTTCTTGGGCAATCACAAGTGTTTCGTTCTCGTACCGGCAAGCCAACCCGCCAATCACTACTGTGCAACAACCGACCAAAACACTATCTGACCCAAGACATGGTTTTGAGCGTCCCTCGTTGCGTCGACAAGCACCAGAAGGACACTGACACAAAAAATTCCATCCCATCATTCAACAATGGTGTCGGCAAACCACTTATCGCAATCGTCAACAACACGCACACACCGCCACCACCCAACTCTCCAAGCCCACTATAATAGCGACAGCCTGGGTGCTTCTTCTCCCTCACTCACCTTGCCGAGGTTGAACAGCTTGCGGATGTTGTTCGCGCGCTTGGGGCCGAGGCGGCGGGGCACGGGGGCGTCCGTGAGCCCGGGGATGTCCTGGTCCCCCTTCTTGGTCACCACGAGGTTAAGCACGGCAAGGTCGGCGGCCACGATGCAGCCGCGCACCGACTTCCTCTTGCGCTCGCCGCGGCGGCGCTGGCGGTAGCAGGACACGCCCTTGTGCAGAAGCAGGCGCACGCGGTTGGCGGAAAGCACCCCCTGCTTCATGGGGAAGCCCTGTTTGTCGTTGCCGCCGGAGATGCGGAACATCTGCGGGTGGGAGGATAGATAGGAGCGGGTAAGGCGTTTCCATTCGGCTTGTCATGTAAGGAATGTTGGTCTCGCGCTTTCGTCTTCATCCGGAAGTTGCTGTTAGTGGGTTCGAAGTGAATCAAACTACCATAGTCACCTACGGCAGTACTACAAATACCACGTGGCTTCGGACGCCGTCATATGAATGTGCGAATGAAATTGCCTCCGAAGTCGTTTAGGAAGCGTTGCCATATCCACCCAACCCTGTACGACAGGCTCGTCGTGGTTTGTTGCAAAATTAGTAGAAATCAAGACCCCCGAAAGGCGCAGATGTGCGTTGTGTTGGGAAGAAATTCACGGAGAACGGAGAGCCGGCACAACTTTAACGTTGTAACGCCTTGCTGGCACACATGACCATCATTCTTGATTGCTATCTCTGCTACAAAAACAAGGGAGTATATCTACAAGTTTGACCTGTGAGAAACAAAAAATGAACACGGGGGAGCATTTTTTTTTTCACGGATCCCCGGGACAGCGGGGCGGCGTCCCCTCCACTGGAGCCGGGCTGGATCATGGGGTCTACGTGGTCCAAGCAAATATCTCACAAATCGTGCCTTTCAGCAACAGTGCGAGGGGCTGCCAATGCTTTCCAACATGTTGTACTCAGTCTGTGGGAGACGCTGTGTTCATTGGCGAATATGCTCGTGCAGGGTACTCCGCACTCTTTTTACCGGGTACGCGCGTCTTTGACACAGAAGAGAGTATCTCGCACAGGCGGAATATCTTCCAAAGCATTGGCAGCCCTCCGCACTGTGGCTAAGCACATGACTCGTAATATATCTGCTTCACCCACCCACACCCAAACCGGTCGCCCCGGTGGCCTAGTGGTTGGTATCCTCGTAATCCGCTAGTCGCACAGGTTGTGAGTTCGAATCCCCATGGGGTCAAAAATTTACGAAATTTGCGGGTGAAAGCGAAATATAGCTAAAAAGCTCTCGTGAGTACCAAACTTGGACGTTAGCACCGTTGACGAGAGAAGGGACGGCTGGACCCTTCTCTCGATAAAATAGAATTCAGTACGCACCGCAGGAGGAAGGTGGGGCATGAAAAGAAATAAACAGAAGAAAAAAGCCCTGGTGTTTACCCCCTCCTGTGTGACCCTGGATGGTTGTAGTTGTACGAAAAAATACACAGAAAAGTGTAGTACACGTCTCACCACCAAAAATGGGGGGACTGTCGGCATAATGAATAGGACGAAAAAACACACACACACACACAATGATCCAGCCAACCGCCTGGCCGGTGAAAGCCTGTGATCGTGTTGCCCGGCACCCAAAACGAACGGCGCGTGCGGCAGCGAGTGTGTAGTGTAGAGTGCAGCCCCCGAACGACAGCAAACGACGACAGTTCATTCCCAGCAGCTCGGTCACAAACCAGTGGCTGAAGTAGCTCGGTTGGTGCGGTGACAAGATCACGACTGACCGCGTTTCTATCTACTACAGTAGTCCTCCATATGGGCGTTGCTTAGCATAAAAACTGCTGTCTGTGAGTGCAAACGTCGGAACGAGTGCCGCCGACGACCGTTGTGCGTTCCAACGGAGATCTGATTCTCAGGGTGCATGATGACACCTTCCACGATTTTACCGCGCTACGTGTGTGCGGTGTTAAGGTATTTGGAGGTAGACATGTGGTCGCGATAGATGATGGGTATTTGGCGCCGTCGGATGCTAGGACGTGACTCATGCTAGGATAGGGCAAGATGCCGCCACATGCGTGCCCTTCTGTAAAGTTTGCAGACGATCGGGTGATTGTGTGTGCTTGGGATCTTGTGAGTTGGCTTGGAAAGCACTGATCAGTCAAGAGAAAGAGAACAACGGAGAGCAACAACCTGCATCTGTGGTCGGACAAAGGGAGTTCCACACAGCTCCAAGGTGATTGATTCTGAAGGAGAGGGTCAACTATCATTACACTGGCGACGTCGACAGCACAGATACCACTACACGCGGCGGCGGCGGCTTTGGCCTTCTCGATACACTCGGCCTGGAGCTCGCGCGCGTGCTTTCGGCGGTGCATGATCTGTCTGATGTGCTCATCCATCATGTCACTATCCGTGTTTACGGCACCGAGCTCCGCGTCCGCCTCTCGCTTCCGATCATCCAAGACGAAGATGGTATATAAAACAAATTGTAAGTTCAAAGTTTTCGTACATTTCTCGACGAGATGGTTCCCATGCCGCCACTTTTTATGCCGCGGAGAAATCGAGCTTTGTAAAACGATTCAGGGGGTGTGATATCTTAAGTCACGCACGGTAGGGACTGGAACGAGAAACAGGCTCTGTTTTTCGGGTGAGGGGCAGAATCAGCGGTCTTGCCCACCCAGGATATTCCGCAGTGCGGTGGACAAGTAAGCCACTGAGGTAAACATGAGCGACAAAAACAACGCACAACGCGCTACTACTGGGCCTACGTTGCCGTGGCGCGCCGGAACGACTGCTGTGATCGCAAAATTGCAATGGGATCCATATACAGCTTTTACTGCCGAACTGTGCACTGAACAATGTCAAGGGAGAGAGGCATGTTTGCAGCAGCAAAAGGGCGCATGCTGCTGTCGTTGCGGCGTTGGACCAATTCAGTGAAACGAACGTGTAGCACGTGAACCGACGCTGCTGTGATGACGGCGACGGCAAGTATAAATCGATTCAAACTATTACACGCTTATGGAGGAAGGATGCAAATGATGCATGGTGCATGCCCACCATGAACCAACACCAACGAAAAAATGGCATCTACTACTTGTGCTGACAACTGCTGTGGGAGGACTCACGTATCCAGCAAACTCGTCTCCAAGAGCCTCTCCCTCCACCTCCTGAGAGATGCGCTTGTCGTACAAGGCACGGCTGGGAGGAAGGAACCCCAGCGAGAAACAAGGGCATCAACGCATCAAGCAACAGCAGTTATCCGGAGAGGGTGAACCCCAGTGAGTAGGCTGTATATGGGACAACAGAATCGTCCGGGATGGGTGATAGAATTCCGGTGTCATTTGCAGTGGGTTGGTAGCCCAAGCAGAGAGTGTCTGACTGATCCCTAACAACACTGCTTTGGGCAGACGACCTACAGCAGCTTACATTACCTAGTGCTGAGGTTGTACCTGGTTAACACAGCAGCTACCGCCGTTGTCACGAGCAATGCCACACGATCTCCAGCATAAGTGCGCCAGGTGAATCCTTCACAAACACGCAGCGTTGCTGATGTAACTGCTGTTACCGATTATTCCATACAGCAGCCCGCCCCGATCCCCAACAATCCCCAATGTAGCAAACAGAAGTGCACCAAATGCCAACACAACAAGACAGAGGCAAGCGTTTGCCTGGTGTCCTACACAGCAGCACCGGCTTACCGTGTACACCGAGCACGTGAAAGTAGAACAGCACAAACAAAACACAGTAGCACCCACTCACAGCTTCTTCTCGTCATCGATCTCGATAAACATCTGCGAGCCCGTTCCGGGCGAAGCAATGTTGAGCTGTTGTACCCAAGTCGTCATTGCCGGAGAAGGAGAGGGGGGTCAACCCAACCACCCACAGAGCCAGAGCGACACAGAGCAGCGGATAGGTGGCGTTTGTCAGAAAACGGACACCGAAAAGAGACTCTTCAAATGCACAGCCGCTCCCCCTACACACACTTAGACTTTGCGACAACCAGGGACACTTTCCACCTCTTTACCCTGCTGCCCCTTTTGTCGCCACTGGATTCGCCTCGCCTTCCGCCGTGCACCGCAGTCTCATACCGCCGCACACCGACCCTCTTGCAAAAATTATATGGTCCTTCCATAACCGCCTTCGCTCCAAGTACCCACGAGGGAACACCTGACTGGACATCACTCACACACGCACCTTCATGCTCACTAGACCTCTCAGGCACTTGAGCCTGCAGGGGTCTACGGACTAGAAGGATGCACACGACGGCTTGGGGGACTGGCACACCAAGGCCGCAAAACCACTCACCGACGGCAAAAGGGTTTGGTATAGATGAGGGGATAGGGGATACCAAGGTTTTCGACGAAAAAAAACTGGATTCGCGTTTTGAACGTTGGCAGGGGAGAAGCTTCTTCCTCCCCTTCCCGTCCATCGCCGCAGAAAAGGTTTGTGTGTCTGTTAGTGCTTCTTCGGAGCAGATGAGCAACTCAGAGGGCATGGATTTGCAACTTGTCCCTCCGCCGAAGCCATCACTATTGGAGTTTGCAAGACGCATCCCCAAGGTCGAGGTACGGAGTACGGAGTACGGAGTATTTGCTGCACCTGGCTGTGCTACGTGCCACATACACCAGTCGCACATGCGTTGTGTAGGTGTGTGAACAGAGTGTCCCAACAACTGTTGAGGGGATCCGACACACTCTACATAGGTGCCGTTGTCTGGCGTATCCGCCTGTGTATCGTTCATCAAGGGTGTTTACTATTTGCTGTGCTATAGCTGTACTTGTACATGGTAGCAGTACGACACCCCGTGTTCCTTCAACGAAACGCTTGTTTGAAAATTGAAATTCGAAACCTTGTTCCTCCGCAACATGCAGTCGACACATCCAATGCGTCTGTTGCGTGTGTCCGAGGTCCGAGGCGGCTCCAAATTGACTTCGCGGGAGCAGTTTTCGGTGGGAGAATGGAAAGAGTAACGTGTGTGTTCTCTGTGGACGACATGGCAATAGGTGTTCTATCGAGAGTTCGACCTGTGAGAATATTTTTCCCGCTGAGGATACGGCGGTATACGGCATCAGATACCATCCCGTGTTGTGCCGTTATTCCATCCCCATTACTTGCTCTAAGGGCTCTGTTGAAGCAAGTTACTCGATGTCGTGTGTTTACGACTGCAGCTTCACGCACATCTTCACGGATGCATTAGGCCGGCGACAGTACGGGATCTCGCCTCAGCTCGTGGCATCACTATGTCGCCTGAGCAGCAACGGGTGCTAGCTCCGGGCGGTGAGCGGAGCCTGTGTGATTGCTTCAAGATATTCGACACAATTCACACGTGAGTGGTTTGGTATCTTAGCGGGGTTCCACTCGTGGAATGCTGACTGCGACATACTCAGCGCCTGTTCGTGGTGCATATATTGGTCGGTCGCTTGCGAACGGGCACGATAGCGCTTGCACGAGGGGACTTTGTATAGGTTCACTGTAGATTCGCCAATGCAAGCTCTTTCGCTTCCGTGGATTTCTCGACCCAATCGATATTTCCCCCTTCGCCGTGCTTCTTGCCTCCTCACATTCAGCGTAGTCTCCGACCTGCCGGCTGTCCGAAGGATCACGCTTGAAGCGTTGCAAGACATGCAACGCGATAATGTCCGGTACGCTGAACTCCGAACCACCCCGCGCCCGCTGGCAGACGGCACGAGCCGACGGGACTACATTGAAAATGTTCTCCAAGTCTTTCAGGAGTTCGAGGCCAGCCAGGCTGCGACAGCAGTCCCCACTTTGTCGGGGAAAACCGGTAGGATCGCAGAATCTGACAACCTCACCGACGAATCGTTGGTAGCTGGGAGGCTTGTCCCGCGGCTGCTGCTCAGCGTGGACAGAACGAAAAGTGTGGAGGAGGCCATGGAGGTTGCCAAGCTTGCCGTCGAGCTGCGGGGGGAAGAAGAGTGGAGATCATACGTGCTTGGAATGGACTTCAGCGGTAACCCTACCAAGGGACCATTCAAAGAGTTCAGGTCAGCTCAGGACCAAGGGGCAATGGAATGATGATGCAAGCTGTTTGTCCCCAATCAAAATGAGAAGCATCACAACAGGTATCATGCAAGCCAAAGGATACACAAAACTGTCCCCCCTCGCACAAACAGACTTCCCGTGAAGCGCTATCCTCGGTGCTAAGATTGTCTACGGCGTAGATATTCATGCGGTGGTGCCACGGTGCAGTCACGGCGGGGTAACGTTTCTGCCTAGCCTCAGTTATTCCTCCCGCCCTCCCTCCCCCGTCACACACAACCTCGCTGGCACTTGGACAGGCCGGCCTTTGAGTCGGCTCGAAGCAATGGGCTGAAAGTGACAGTGCACTGCGGAGAGGTTCCCAACGACGCCGACTTTCTCGAGGTGATCGCCTTCCGTCCGGAGCGGCTGGGACACGCGGTGGTTCTCGGAGAAGAGGTGCGGCAGATGCTCCTGTCTCTGGTGCCGCGGATACCTATCGAGGTGTGCCCGACCTCGAACCTCCTCACCCTGGCCCTCTCCCACCACGGGGAGCACCCTACTGTACGAGGATGGATCGAAGCAGGGTGGGTTTCACTGTTCTTCTTGGGCGACTTGGTAGGAGATTGGTAACAGCAAGAGCGTTGTGCTCTCCTTTCGTTGGGTGGCAGGGTTGGGCCGTCATGCGACGGAGTAGATACGGCTCCCGAACCTGGGACGCGAGACTCACTCGCCGTACGCCTCAGGGGGAGGACTCGCATCACTCATGTCGAACGTTGGCCAAATGCAACACCAGCAGGAAAATCGCTGCGTCTGACTCTTGGTAACAACGATTGTTTTTGTATTCTCACTGCCCCGACTGCGACATGCGCTGCGTACGCGAACAGCTACCCGTTCGGCGTCAACACCGACGACTCCGGGGTGTTCGATACGGATCTGGCGACGGAGTTTGCTCACCTCGCCACCTCTAATGACTTGGACGAGGAGAGCATCGCGCGCTTGGCATGTCGAGCAGTCCAGGTGCCAACAGAGGAGTAACGCCGCTTTTTCTTTTTTCCCGACTTCCTGATATCATGTTGAATGGATTTATTCATGTACACATACCTCCTGTCAGACCCCAAAGTGGCGTGAGCGTGCACTATGGGTGTCGAGGTATGCTACGTCTGCTCATGTCGTTGTAGACGTGTTGCTTGTACTGCTACAGCTGCATTCACGCGTGTCCTCGCAGCAACGGCGAGCGACGTAAGTTTCCGAGACGTCCGACTATCCACGTCTGTTCGACCAAAACGGTTACACCTGAGCCAATGCTCCCCGTTTCTGCTCTGCGCCCTCCTCCTCTCGTCTTGTGTCCGTCTCAGGACATTTTCGACGACGGTATACGTCCGTCTCTCGCCGAGTCTTTCCGAAGAGAGTGCGACGTCCTCCTGGCCTCAACTTGATCTTTCGGTGAAGACGTACAGAGAGTACAGTTGCTGCAAGATAATGACGCAAGCCATGCACATGCGTCCCCCCTAGGCCTTCACAAGCGCGAAATCAGTCGCACGTGCGATGGCCGTGACCAGTGTTTAGCTCTTCCTGCGGAACCCTATCGCAGTGCGTGTGCCCATGCAAGACGGACGCGTGCGTACAGCATTTGTCTTACGAGGCCGCCGGAGGGTTCCGGGAATACGGTTCTACGCACAATACACCAAAGAATAAGCGGTGCTACGTGCTATTCGAACAGGCGGCGCATTCCCCATCGATTGTCTCATAGAAAGCAAGATGAAACAGTAACTGGAGCTTGAGCGCATGCCTGTGGCCGTACTTCATACACGTTCGCCGATTGTTCGCCGCAATTGGCATGGGCCGATGGCACGTGGGTCGCGGGTAGCGTCCAGCAGCTAGTCTATGCGAAGAACTTGTCTGGTTAGGGATGCGAACTGCTCTCCATTAGAGTATGATGGGGCTGTACTTGAAGTAGAACCCTATTTTTTGACCCCATGATTGTCGAGTCAGAGCAACCAAGGGTCGACGAGGAGACACCACGCCTTCGACACTTCCTTTGTTGGCTCATGGCATCCACGGTCGTCTCTGCACGGCTGGCTGGACGCATGTGGATCGAACAGTTCTCGGTGACCCGCGCCAATACATTGAACGGAGTCAGCTGGAACTTCTTGTAAACTGTATCATAGATCTGTAAGCACAGTTGGCAACTCTCAACGGCCAAGCCCCCCCCAGCGGCACGCCAGCCATGAAACCAGCGAAAGTTATCAAATGTTTGTTTCGTCAGTCTGGCATGTCTGAGATCCTTATACAAACCAAACGGGGCGCACGGCCTACGTATGTTATGCACCGTAGTCATCTGAATCAATCTCTAATGGTTCCAGGTGGAGGGTATCGGCGGGATCGGGATCGACGATATCCCTGCTGCTGAAACGTCGCAATAGTCCCGTGACCCGGGAGACCGTTCTCTCCACGGACGGGCTATTGGCGGGTGATGGTGAACCTGCCGCCAGTGATGGTGGTGTGTCGATGCTACAGACTCCCGAGCGGGGTGAGGCTGACCCAGGCGAAAACGTCACCGGGCCCCCCGAATCTGGTGTCAACGCCGCCGTTGCCGCCATATTTATGACTTCGCCTTCAGCGGCGGTGGTGGCGTCATCCTCGCATGGCGCAAACCCGTACCCTTTGCGACTTCTCTCTTCTCGTTCTTCTGGCCCCTCCCCAAACAAGTCACCCCCGACGGGCTCTGATGATCTGCTTTCGTGCTGTGGTTGCATGCTTTCCGCCGTTGCATGTTTCGTCCCGTCGTCTAACGGTCTATCGGTGTTGGGATTTCGGTTGTTGTCGGCCGTTGCGGCCGACGTCACCTCGCTCACAAGCACCTGACCCCTCCCTTCCCCCTCCCCCTCCTCCCCAGAAACCGAGCCGTTGCAAAAATCAGGCGGAAGCAAGGTGCGGGCATCAAGCCCACTTGCGCCCAACGTGTCGCGGTCGCCGCCGCCGCCGCTCTCGTCGTCGCTCTCGTCGTCGAAGGGGTTGTAGCCGATAGTGCCTCCCGCTTTTGCGTTAGAAGTTGGGTTCCTTGCTTCCTCGATTCCCATCTTAGCTCTCTCGGTTTCAAGTGCTGCTTTGATGTCCCCCGCGGCCCCCCTGTCGAGACTCTGATGCTTGATAGCTGGGTCGTGAAAGGTGAGAAACGCAACGCTCCTGCCAGATGTACAGCAGTATGCAGGCAGTGGGGCTTTGTGGATGGACGCGGAGTCGATAGCGATCAATGTCTTCTTTGCAGTGGAAATACCCTCATCTCATGCGTGTTGGTTGCAGAACGACAGATTGTACGGAATATTGAACTCCACTCTCCGCTGCAACCAAAAATCACCAAATCAGGCTGATCCCTCGCTCTAAATGCAGGCGGGCTAGCATTTTTCTCACCCCTCTGTTCTAGTAGCATTTCCCATCCCCGACGATGCTCGGCTGCCGCTCCCCGCAGGAAACTCTCTCGAGATCGTAAACGACTGCTCGAACAGTCCCGTCACCACAGCGTACACGTCCCTCTCTTCGTCCTGTTCGACCGGACACAGATTAGTCTAGAGGAAACGCAATCGAGCGTAACGCCGGCTTACGTGTGGAGTATGTGGCAAACTCGATACTAAAGACGGTTGCACCACGATGTTGAGCGGGAAAAATCAAATTGTTTCCTCCATGCACCAATTTCCTGACTCATCATTTCATGGCCGAACCCCCGCCCCGTTGACTAACCCGCATTGGACGTGGGAACTTGTAACTGATTTCTGCAATATACCCCGGACCCAGCAGGGTTGCTACCGTGTATCCTTTGTCACAAGGTTCGCGCCAGAGAAAATGTCGGCCTCGCGAGCTACAATGAATTGAACACCTCATGCTCATCCTCAACTCCCCTATCAAGGTTGTGCTACATAGCACGCGTAGCACGCACTAGGCCCATGAATATCACATGCAAGATATGGAATTATGCCACCACAAGACCTAACCGGGAAGCTCTCGGTCTGATCAGTTTACGTCCTCAGCTTCTTGATGATACTCATAAGCACAGGTCAAGGGTTGAATTGCTCTCCAACCGTATCACCCACCTGCGGGTCGCTCGAGAACAACTTGTAAGACGTCCGAGCGGTGCACGTCACTTGAATGTAGCTCCTTCTGAACAGAGGTCCGTCTTCCTCGTCGTTCGAGGACCCCGACTCTTCCCCTCCGTCGTCGGTGTCCCCAAAGAACATCTTGTAACTCGCAAGGGCGGCGGCAGGCGCCGAGCTCAACCCACCGCGTACCCCCCCCTCCTTGTGGCCCTTGCCACTGCTGTCACCCTGACCCATTGCCGACATCGCGGATGGAACACTCCTCTTACTGTTTAGTCCTACGTTGCTGCCCGAGTACCCCGCAGCCTGATCCACGCTTCGGCGTCGGGCAAGCGAAGCAAAAATTCCTCCGCCAGTGGGACCGCTACCCTCCCCACCGTCTGCGCCATATGTCTTGGAACTCACGAGGCCGGGTTTCCGCTGTCCTGTCGGAGAAGCGACTGCTTCTCCCTCGTCTTCGGCCCATGGCCGCCCTAGCCCTGCCGGTGCCGTCGCCGCCAAAGATTGCGTGCCGCCTTCCCAGGAGGCGGTCTGCCGCATGTCCGGCGGCACCGGCAGCGTAGTCGGCGCCACCCGCCCACCCATAGCGCTCCCCGTACGCGTCAATGTTACTCTTCCACTACCTGGGATCTTCAGCCGACCTCGGCGCTTAGACCCGCCGCCTGTCTGAACCCCGTTCCGCCCGCCCCCTTTCCCCACCAGCTGATGCTGGGCTTTCGTGTCCCCATCCCCGCCTCCGCCGGGCGATGTAAATTCCCCTTCGCTATTTCTCGCGCTAGGAGGGCTTCTTTGCACACCGCTGCTCCGATGCTCGAAGGAACGGCTCGCCGCCGCGGAAGCGCTACCGAGAGACGAAGGGGAGGGTGGCTCGGGCAGCTCCCCGGGAGATGGTGGGCTGTTCGCCTGGGAGCCCTTCGTCCCACCGTCGATCGTATGGCGATAATGTCGCGATGGGTTCTGCTTGTGCCCTTGAGTTTGCTTTTGTGCCGCGCGCGGATGGAGGGTTACCGTTATATCAAGCGGCTCCGCCTCTTGCGAAGCGGGCACCAGCACCACTAGCGGGGGGTTTCGGCACAGATTGTCCACCTGGATTGCATCGGTAGGTTTACCGCAGCGAGAGGAAGAACACGGGACGTTGCGAAGTGGTTGCAACGGTGTTTGTACAGAAACGTGTTGCAGGCACGCCAGACTCGCAAAGCCTCTCCCGAGATTCGAAAAGCTTCCCCCAGCCTCGGAATTCCACCGGATAAAATTATACGTGCTGTTTACGGTGAACTCCGACCAGGGCAGCGATCGAGGAAGCAGTCGAGGTTGTATTCAAGAGGATGAAAAAGCTCGCCTATTAGCCACAGCACCTCGGGCTCTGGCTGCTGACGCTCCCCCGTCACCAACAAGCGCGTTAATATAGATCCACACGTCAACACACCGTACATGAATATTGACGCATGTATGCTTCTAGGTCTCGAAAACGTGAACGGAGATTTCTCCGGCCGAAAACGGAGAGACGTGATTGGAAGTGATCGAAGCTAACGCTCCTAGATCATTAAAGCCCGTAGAGGGCTCAAAAAACGGCTTTTCTGCGGACGCCATTCTGATTAGCTTACCACGAGGTAAGTGTCTCCACCGGAAGTAGTCCGATCGCAGGCGAGGAGCACATCGCGCGCGGCCAATAAACTCTGAGCTTCCGACAGCTTGGACAAAGAGTCCGAAGCGGATAGCCTCCCAGCCTGCCGCAGGCGTCAAAGAGAGAACACATTGGCCTCATGTGCAGATGGCATGGATTTCAGGTCATTTCTACATACACTCTCGAGAGTCGTTCTTCAATACACTCCTCTCGAAAGTCGTTCTTCAGTGGTACTAATTGACTTCACGTTGAGGTCGGCCTCGACTTCCTGTTGGCAAGAAGCCCGCATGACAAAACTTCTTGAGAGTGCACCGATGTGACGAAGTGGCGCTTGACCGAGCACAAGCGTGTGCTAAATAAAGCATTGCCCTACTCTTATTTTAGCTGCAACACTCACTCCCGGCTGATGATACAAGCAAGCTATGCTGCTGTGCCAGGAAAATAGGCCACGCTCCAAATCAACCAATGCTCAGTCAGGTCAGCCGTGGCTGTGGCCTCGGGTCGGCGGTTGCTAGCTCTCACCAACTCGCATGCGAGCTACGGCGTACAGCATGGTGCAAGCAGTTGAACATCCTGAATCTTTCATGGAAGGACAACAGCCACAGCCAGAGACCAATTGGGATAATACTGTACTATTTCGTTTGAAACGTACGCGAACAGGATACTGAAACCACCATCTAGCCATCCTGCCTCGCCAGATGCAAGAAATCAACGACGTGCTTCTTCGTCGTTGCTTGAATGCACCGTTGTCGTTGGAGCAAACTCTTTCGGAGCTACTTCAGTTCCCCATGTTTCTCACGAGATTCTATCGCTCTCTCAAGCCCGAGTACTGTTTTGATGTCCGAACAGGTTTCAATGTGCTCCTTGTCCTACATATTGTCAACCAATGGTTTTCATCACTCAACGAGTAGCCGTGCTTTCAACGGGTTATGGCTTTTTTTGAACCGATGGCGACAAGGACACCACGGATATGGCCTCGTGGCTTTTGTCGCGCCCCCCAAAGCTGCTGTTGCTATTCATCTCACCTGAGCGAGAATGCACCGCGTCAAAGCTCCTATGATGCCCTCTGGCCCTCGCTCCCCCGTCATCACCCTCCCG